CAGTATGACCTCTGAAACGTTGGTAAACATCTACCAGACTACACGGCGCAACAACCCAAAGACAGAAATCTTCATACTCACCGCTGTGTCGCCCTGATGACGGAGGCAGTATGACTTCCGAAACGTTGGTAAACATCTACCATTTTACACGGCACAACAACCCAGAAGACAGAGATCTTCAGACTCTCCGCTGTGTCGCCCTGATGACGGAGGCAGTATGACTTCCGAAACGTTGGTAAACATCTACCATACTACACGGCACAACAACCCAGAAGACAGAAATCTTCATACTCACCGCTGTGAAAACCTCAAATCTTACAATTTTATCTTTGCCTTACTAGTAAATAATTATTAGGTAACTTAGCGATACTTTACAAAAGAAAATTTTATATTACAGGTCGTCCTGGCGTTTAGGTGAGTCGTGAAAAGTGCGAAGGGCAGAGGTTTTAGCTTCATTTGAATTCCGAACCAAGCATTTGCATGAGTAGGCTGAGGAGGCACAGAAATCATATTCAAGAGCCGGTCTCTGGGCCGAGGATCGAATTTGGGGACTCCCGAATCAGGAGCTAACCGTATAAGTGCTATACAGACGCTTGTGCAGAGCTCTGTCTCATACGTGACTACATAATGTCCTTAACTTGTCTCCCCCAACCTCTGAATAAAGTTTCGTGAAGCTGTTGCAGTAAAGTAACATCTCAGACGGTCTTCGCTCTCAGTACGACAAGTTATAAATTGTGAGACAGAATGTTTTGTTGCAACATTTGTGATGTCCCGACTTCCATTTCTACGAGTAGATATGTTTCCTTTTCTTATGACCTGCGTCCCGAAACCTCTGATTAATATCAAGGCTTACTTTCGCATCATGTCACACCAAAGGCTGCACTAAAACTCTACATGGCTGTATTTTTCATTTGTTTCCTGTCGTACTTATGGAACAGATCGCTGAAAACGATCATATTGACTTTCAAAGCCACCTGTCGATATTCTCTTCGTTTATTTATCGACTGCACAAGGTATATGATTAATTGATATGAATAATGTTTTGGGAAGAATATCGAAGGAAGCTGTCGCAGCCTATTTTAAGACACATACACATCATCTTCTGTAGGACCTGAGTAAAACCACGAGTGTCTTCAGTGAGAATAGTCGGAGACTCCCGGCTATGAAGCAGTAGAACTAACATTTCGATTGCGACATTAGGTACATATCGATTTTGAGTGGATCGCATTTTAACTTAACATCGATTTATCAATTGTAGAGGTTGTTTACTGTGGAAAGAATGATATAATGACCACGTTCGGTAAATTTAAAATAATGTGGAGGATATTGTCAAGGCCTATATCTTAACATATTATCCAGACATTTGACTGAAGGACAAATGTAGTCCATGAGAGACGTCGCGATAGACTAATCAGACTGTGATTATGATTAATATCTCCTGAACAGGACTCCATACCCTTGCGTCTTTACTAACCAGCTGCATTGCATCCGTAGGAAACAGAATTAATACAAAAGTCTGTGGAATTTAAGATAAATCGATAATTACCGAACTCAGATGTTCTTGAATTGTCTTCTGTTCTCAGTTTAATTGTCTCTCTGTTGTTTATTTGACTGTATTCAAATTAAAACATTTTTTATGATTCGAAAGTTTCAGCTGGGACTTGACATTCCAGCTATGTTTTCGGGGGATTCCGGTTTCAAATCTCGGATCGGAAACAACAAATAAATCTGTTTGTCCTAACTGTGTCCAAGGTTAAGAGGGCCATGTAAGGAGTAGTTGCAAATACTGAACAAGTAGCCACAGACAGCTGGCAAGAGGTTATCACCCACTTATAAATACTAGATTGTTATAAATTTATACACAGGCAGTTATTGGATTAGACTAGTTTATCCCAGTTCATGCCATCACACTCCATTTCTTTAATTGACCTATACATGGTAAACGATTTGGCTGGTACGTTCAGTGTTTCCCCAACAAAATTTAAGTATTCCCATCGGCTGACCAGTCGTGTTATGCACCAATCTATCTCAGTCTTGATTGATGACCATAATAATATGTAAATTTATATTTTCCATTTCCTCACATTACAATTTTCTCTATTTCTGTGTTACTCTATATTTCCTGGATTCAAATATCTTCCTCAGAATATCCTAAATATGTGTTCTTCTCTCATAGAAAGAAACCGAATTTTAAACGTAAGCTTATACGTCAACTATATTTTACTGCGTAGCTGTACAGAAGGTGTTATCGTTTGCAGGTGGCTAGGTAGTTCTAGTGATATCGTCTGTTTATTGAACTTTCAAGAAATCTCGAAAATAGAAGAAAATAAAATTTCCAATTCTTCTCACAAAGCCTAGAACTGGATTATGTTTGACACGTGTATTCTATATATTTGGCTGCAATACAGAAAATAAAGTATGCCAATGAATGGGAAGCAAATGATGATATAGAGCTAACAGCGTGAATGTTTATCCCAGTTCAGAGTAAAGAGTAAAATGTACTTTCTCTGTATTTCTTTATCTCGCATTTCAAAACCTGATTATTTACTTCATATACCTTACTGCTGTTTACAAAGTCAGCCAGAAATATGTTATATACATTAACTCACTTCGGACACTTGCAATCATGAATAGGTAATTTTTGAGCGCAGTGACAGTAAATCGGAGATAATAAAAATGATGTCATCATGAAGATGACTGTCTTTTGGATTGTAGCTCCGTGTAGTCTGATAGCAGTTCACAAACGTTTTAGAGGTCCTTGTTGCCTCCATGATCAGGGCAATATGTTTTACTTTTCGTCCTGTTATCATTCACGGGATGTTCGTTTGTTGTGAATTAACAATCGTTAATGTAAACTAACAAACAAACGTTTATACAGTGACGAGATTTTTATGATAATATTAATATTAATAATATACTCTATTTAAGTTTCATATTCGGTGAAGTTATATTTTGCTATGAAGACCAATTTAAGTTTTTATTTTAGGTCTCCAAAATCAAATTTCATCGAAATACGCAGAGTAGTTTCAATCTCGGCCAGGTTACCGTTTAATCTGAGAGGAGTTATTTAAAAACCTATATCTGTTCACTATTTATGATTATATTTCGATCTCATTCGATTCTGTAAAATCTAAGCAACTGAAACAGCATAATTAATTATTCATAAATTAAGCAAATATCAGATTACGGACGGAAATACGGTCATTTGGCACTGACTCAGGCCTGATAATCTCAAAAGGCTGCTGCCTTCTGAAGTCTGCAGTCTGTGCGATATTTGTGGCACTAAAATATGCTGACTGCTGCTGAGAAGATTTTGCTGTTGCCGCCTAGGAGACGGTCAAGACCGATGAGCAAGTTCAAAGCACAGGGATCAGAATGGATAAGGGTTTGGCCATAAAGCACCACACAACATGAACAGGAAGTGGTGATGAATTCTACTTTGGGGTTTGATTCCGGGCTGTAGCAGTGACTTCTCTCTATACCAGTGGTATTCAACATTTCTTGTTCGCGTACCCCCAGATATAATTTCTCTTCAACTTTGAACCCCCAAAGTTGTTGATGTATAATTCAAGTTATACATAGTATATAATCTAGATCTAAAATAAATTAAATAAATTACATTACTGGTTAATCAGTGTTTATCATAAAATAATAAATATATATTTTTTAAATTTCATGTCTTCGCGTACCCCAGGTTGAATACCACTGCTCTATAACACCACATCCATATTTTCCTCACTCTCTTATCAAACAGGTATCGGTGGCCTGGTGGATCTGACGGTTATCTGTATCGAGTGCCGTAGTGTTACTTAGAGTTTTGCCTCCATTTCACCGTACGCCATTATTGCGCGATATTTGGATGCAGGAACCTTTGGCTTGTGAAGGAAGTAAAATGTTTCATATAAATGTGTTCTCATGGTTATGATATATCGGCACAAAATGTGAGTCTTCTTTCGACGCTGGTTATGACCATGAATCGTACCAGCGCAGTAAAACTAAATAAACTGCAACATCGAGTTTTTAGACTAGAAGTCATGGACACTTTGTCAACACCACTGCGGAGACACAAAGTTCTGCGTCTGAACACAGCGGGTAATATCGACCCCTTTGTAATAAGTAAGGGACAGTGTTTGTAGTAATTTAAAGAGATCTCCCAGGGGAAGGAGAAACTCAGCTGGCCAGAGTTTTCCACCATCCGAACTAATTTCTTCAAACATAACCTCAAAATGTAACGAAATTAAAATATTCTTCACCTTTCACGAATTGGCAACTCAAGGTTTGTCCCACTTCAGAATTAATCCCGAAAGTATGTATACTTTGTTAATTATTTCCTTGTTGTTTATTTAACAACACTTGTAATTTATAAGCGTGGGACTATAAGATAATTAATGAAAAGCTGTGAAATAACCTCGTTTTTGTTTGAGTCATTGTTTCATACTGTCATTTTTGTGTAGTTACTGAAGAAAATCACAAAAAACCTCAGTCGGGACCTCCGGATCGATATATAAATCCGAGATCCCTGAATACGATTCAGGAGTGCTAGCTACTGTGCCACAATGTTTGATCTGTTTTTAATACATTTGGCAGGACTACTTGAAAGGGGGATTGGTTTATCACAAGACAACGCAGCACAAAGAAATCCATAATTTTATGAAGCAATAGGAATTGAACCACGTAAACTTGGCCAGTTTTAAGGGGTTCTGACGATGGTGCGTTACATTCGGGATTACTGAATTCTTGGGCTTTGTGAATCGTCTGTCTGACCACTCTTCCCTGTCTAGTGCGCTGGTTAATAATAATTAGTCGGCATTTATTCTTTTCATTTGCTGGAAAGAAATTAATAATATGACAATGTTTTAATTTTAGCCTGTATCACTTATTTTAAATTATATAATTATCTTTTTATACTTATTTTATATAAAATATTATTGTAATCTGTCTATACACAACAGTTTCACTTTATGTATTGTATTACATTTACTTGTGATGACATGTTTCAGGTTGTTTCATCATGTTGTCATGAGTCGACTATCGATATGTACCCCATATCGATAGTCGACATGGCGTCAATTTCCCGCAGAAGAAACTGGTTGATTCTCATGTTACTTACCGGCGATGCCTCAAATGCTGATGTTGATTGAGGTGGGAATATGACAAAGAATAATGAATAGGCAAGGATATGGAAGGAGGAGATCACAGCCTATTTCAATATTATATCCCGGAATCAGCAACGAAGGACAGAAACATCACGGGAAAACTACGGAGATACTAAACGGGTACACCAAGAATATAGTTCTAGAGCGTTACCATTGCAGTGACATGTTCGGTCGTCCATTTTAACAAAAATATACTCGGGCTTACATTATGCAACGAGGGGATATGGTAACAGAGCCACGCAGATACAATTGTTAGATCCCGGACTTAAGGAACACAAATTCCGAGATAATTAAAGTAAGTAAAGTAAAGCACCTTAAATTAAGTTTTCCAATCCATTATTCAATACCATCCTATGATTCGATAATACATACGAGTCTAAGTTGCTGACGGTGTCGTCTGAATGAAGTAAACTTTGTTCTGAATTTGGGAAGCGTAGGAAATGAATTCAGCCGTTGTTAGGAAGAACGATTAGAAGAAAGCCTAATCACGTGATCTTGTTGAGCTGAACAGAATAAGGATGGCGAGTTGAAAGAGACACGAGAGACAATACTCGAGAGATTTTTACGTCGTTTGAACTGTGAGTAATTCCACACAGAACAATTTACTGGAACGAAATAGATATTATTTTGGACGGAGATGTTTAGAGAACGGAAAACGAAGTGCAAAGAATTAAAAGAAGACGAGATAACAAGTACTTCAGATACGGGAATTTAACCTGCGCAAGGGAAACAAATGAAAAGCGGAGCGTGCGTGTCCCCCCCCCCCCCCCAAAAAAAAAAGTTTACTGCTAGAACAGAAGAAGGAAAGAAAAGAAGACCAAAACATTCCAAGGCCAAACGAAGCGAAGAAGACACAACACAGTAACAAATAAGCAGGCAAAAGGAAAAGAGAAGGAATGTATTTGCAGTACGCTCGGATGTAACAAAGTCTAATAAATTAAATATAGTATGAACTAAAATATTGTACTGTACAAAACTGTGAGACTTTACACCGTATGACTTTTAATTCTGCATGTTCCATAGTATGAGGGAATGAATTTAGATGCGAAAGCAAAACATCTCACAAAATTTCATTAGGATAACTTTACAGAAGACATGCATACGGGGCTCAGGAATCGAAGGTGGACTGAAATTCCCATTACGAACATTTGTGTTTGTCACAACAGCAAGAAATTTATTGGTCAGTAAACAGCAATCACTTCCTTGAGAAATATCTGCAAAACGGAGTTACAATTAGACTAAAACTGCAATAAATTTTCGAAAAGTAGCCTGGGTGACATTTTGCAATTTATTTGAAAGTATTTACGTGAGCTTTTTAGTACTCTAAAATTGTGTAGTTCCAGCTCTAGTACATGGCTGTTTGATACTTGGTCTCTGTTTACGGTTTTGTGCTGGTACCCGACGAAAACTTGAGACCTGGTGATCATCTGAAGACTTCGGTGTGTTCCTACGTGCCCATGTTTCGACACATTCTGTAGTAACACGGAGATCTGAAGACGAGAGAAATGCACTGAACATCCTTCATTCGGGATTTGCATCGAGCACTGGTATAAATAAATACGCTCTACGGCGAAAGCGTGCCATTACGTCACAGAGGTCTGAACTTTTGTTGCAGATCGATTGGCTTGCAACTTTCACACTTTCACACTTCACATACGTCCTGTGTGTATCACCTACAGATTTTGGCACTGAGTTATAGGATCTTGCTGTCTCAGCTTTACCAAATTAATATAAATTTGTACAGACACAGGCTGACAAGTACGCGTTATTCAACGAGATACGAATATTTCTCAAATAAGCTAGGCCTATTTGTGAATTTGCATTATTATGTGATCGCTTATAGGAAATATGGGAGACAGGAATTCGTAACGCAGAATAGCATATAGATTTGTTACTGATAGAATTAATTAGGAATAAAAGACGAAATTATTAAATTATATTTTTAAAAACACCATATTAACTAATGTTTAAAATAAAAGTTTAAGATATTCATTACGATATTCGCTATATCACCTCCAGGTTATGCTTTAAATGTTTTAATTGTAATAAAGAAACTCGGTAACACAGCAACATTCATGTGGGCCCAGTTTATAAACAGAACGCCTGAAAAGTCTGAAATAAATACATACACCATGTTTTTTTTTATTTTAGGGCATCATTGGATGGACCTAATATAATGCCAATCTAAATTCAAAGAAACACTTCGTTTCGTCTCCGTACATGCCTTGAAGTATGTGTTCCATATAGTAAATATTTACTCTAAAATAAGAGTAAACATAAGATAGAGTTTTTTATATTTGATTATAGACTTTAGGGGCACAAAAAAAATTCAGCCAATTTTTGTAAACTCCCCTAAAATATTTTCGGACATCCAAAGGGGTTCGTCAGTCACAGTTTTAGAACTACAATCCCACGTGTTTAGTTAAATATGTCAGTCGTGTCGGTTACAACACTAACAAAGTCAGTTCCTGATGAAGAAAATGGAAAGGGAGAAGCAATTTCATCTCAAGTTGATAAAAGAGTACGTAGCCCCACGCAGCAAGCGACAATAACCGGTAAACAAACACGTCGAAGTATCATTTACATACTTTTGATGCAACTTTATACATATTAACAGTGTCACAATTAACACAACCTGGATTTCATTTCGTATGTAAAATCAGAACCCCATTAGAATATACAAAGCTTGGAGCGAAACTTAAACAATATAGATCCCTGAATAGAAAACCAGAAAGTGTTTATTCGGAGGGCAGGGCAGAGGAAACCAGTCCTGTGTTGCTCAGAGTTCTGAACAAGGGTAATAAGATTAGCTCCTGTGTCATTTGAATTCAAAGTTAATAATTAACGAATAAGATTATAGTATTAAGTAAATAAGGATTTGGAAGAACGCTGTTATCACCTGCTCATAATAAACTACTATCCTGACATTCATTTTGAATTACTGTGGAAAACCACGAGAAACCTCGGCTAAGATTTGAACGCTGTACAAGTTCAGAGTTCTACCGCTATACTAACTGGTTCAGTTGATCCTGCAGGGCGCAGTGTTAATTCCAATCTGACACATGTCCACTAAGGATCCCTTAGAATCTCGGTAACCCTCTAGCAATACATTGTTGGTATCTCAGGTGTTAATTTGGACTGAAGGCCACAGGGGGACGAACTAACCACTAAAGCGTGGACACAGTTTCAGCATTATCCTGACCGAATGTCAAAATTATACAAATACATCCCCTTGATGTAGTAGCGAAATCAAGGAGGTTATGATGAACTCAGCATAGAATTTATATCGAATTTTGAGGGGAATCCTCTTGGAAAGCTGTCACTTAGAAGACAAGGGCCGATAATATTAAGATGCAGTCAATAATAACGCACCAAGAAGGTGTGTGTGGCACGTATCAGTTGAAGGCGAAAGCACTTTTATCGCGCGAATACAATGGGAACCGTGTTCTGTAACGAAACAATTCCTCAGAAGTCCATTTAACACGACACTAACCATGGAACTTCATTGCGATTGTTATGGAAACGAATGGTCAGTCTGTAGCCCCAGATTCGACCCCAAAACATACCGAAACAAGCACAAGCCACACCAAGTTATTAACTCAGTGAAGTACAAGTCTTTATTGACAACCTGACAGTCGCTCAGGTAGTGTATGAATTCCCTTTTGTGGGACCTGAATGTTCATTACCATGTTCAGAAGATCTCGCCACCTGTCCTGTACCCATAGCATTAACATGTACCTTATATGCATTCACACGAAATTAAAATGTCTAGCAACAAACGTAATAATTGTTTATTTATTTATGAAATTTTGTCATCAATATTTGCTTATGCTTTGATACCATGTGAAATATTCACTTTAATATAAAACGAACACGGCAAAAAATGGATAGAAGTAGTTGATCAAACGGTCATAGGAGGCAGCACATCCTACACACATATATGGTATTGTCTGTGCTAGACAAATTTTATAGCTTTATATCCGTGGAGTAGAAGTTGTGCTGTGAGTCATCTGGTAGGCTGTCTGTGTAACTATTGTCTGTGCTGCGTAGGTTATCCACGTGGTTAATACCATAGATTAACACCAACTCTTACAAGTAGAAAGTTATTTGTCTGCTTCTGTGAGCATGTAGTGTAACGTTTCCATTCAGAAAAATTGAACAATGGCGTCTTACGTTGCTAGAAATCTTATAAAAGTTCGCAGTGGTGTTAATTTGTCACATTTTAACTATGGTTAGTATCTTATAATTGTCGTAATAGTTTACGGTATGTGTACATTCATTACGACGTCCTTATTTTTGCTGGGTGCATTTAAAACACGCTATGAACGATAACGACCAAAGTTCAATGTAATCGCCTTCCTGCTAGCGAGGTGCTATTTTTCTAATTTAACAATTGTTCATTAATCTTATCACCTAAATATTGACCGTTGTTTCGTCCTAAGGTTAGTCTGCTTAGGCGTGCTTTTAAATATTTGTGTTATTGAATTGTAAGTTTGAACTTGCTTTCAGGTTCCATAAGATGTCTTACAACAACGAACACAGCATGGGCCCCCAGGGAATCAAAAAAATCTGTTGTGGATAAGACTGGAAAAAATATTGTCTTTGTAGATGCAGTTAGAACCCCGTTTCTCATGTCTGGTACTGATTATTCGAAATTGATTGCAAACGATCTAGCTAGACATGCTTTATTGTAAGTAAGTTTCTAATAGTAATAATAACAGCACTGAGGATTCGTTTACAGGATTCAATGTTGCTGATATAATGTATTTTTTTTGTAGGTCTCTTTTACGAAAGACTGGAATTCCGAAAGAAATTGTAGATTACATTATATATGGAACTGTGATACAGGAAGTTAAGACTAGCAACATCGGGCGTGAAGCTTCTCTTGCTGCTGGTTTTTCAGATAAAACACCAGCACACACGGTTACAATGGCCTGTATTAGCTCCAACCAGAGCATTACTACAGGTAAATAAGTCCAGTTAATGAGCTCATTTATACTTCTCAGTAATGATTTCTAAGAGTAAGTTTGCTGCTTCAATGTAGTATGGGCTAAACATTCATCTGTGTTACAGCATTACCATATAAATTACCATTTTTGCTTAATTTGTTGCATAACACTTATCAGAGGCCTAAATTTGTAAAACAGTTTTGCAGGTCATAGCCACTGGTGTAGATGGCACAGCTGTGATATTAATTTCCATATAGAACGTTGTAGAAAGCAAATAAAAAAGAATGTCTGCATTATATAACCAATCCTTGTTCTAGGAATTGGGCTTATTGCTGCTGGAGCATATGATGTTATTGTTGCGGGAGGTGTGGAATTTATGTCTGATGTGCCCATCCGTCTGTCTCGAAAACTACGCAATCTTCTTCTGCGCTCCAATAAGGCCAAAACGCTACCCCAGAAATTTCAGCTTTTCTCATCATTTCGTCCTTCATTTCTTGCTCTAGAGGTGATCCACTTGGCAGTGTAATTTTGAAGGGCATTTACAATTCAGAGTGAAGTTTTGTTGGAAAGTACTGAAGAATCTGTATTCAAATACCACTCATACTAGTACACCAAAAATGTTGCTTTAAAAACATGTAAAGTATTGGAAGAATGTCTTCTGAGTGTCTGCAGTCTTTGTTGCTTTGATTTATCATTAGCCATTATTTTATCAATTGCCCATCTATTTTTGTCTAACTTGCAGGCATGTTTGCAGCATGGATGTGGAGTGGCTATTAAAATTATTTGATCCTTCAGTCTGTCCATCTGTACAGTGTAACAACTTGAAAGTGCGTGGATGTAATTTTATAGAATTTGATCCAGGGAAATTTTACAAAAAAATTGTCAAGCCATTTCTGTTACAGTTTAGAGTGGCCAGAAATGACAGTCACTTTGCTTAAAGAATTGCATGTGTTTTTGTGGTCTAGTTGGGTGATGATGTCGTCACCTTTGATACTCTGTGATGATGTGACTATGATGATGGCATCAGGACCTAATCAGACAAACACCACATCCACTCAAATATCATTGACTCAAGATAATTTAGACTGTACTTGCACTGTTTGTAAAGATCAGAGATCACGTGCTTCAGTTATTTTAGTAGATTACTACAATAATTAGAAGTAATACATTGACATTGAAAATTTCTATTACTATTGTTGATTTTCCCATGGTTAGCAAGTTATGAGCAGTCTTTTTCTAGCATTTTGTCTGACTGAAGTCAAATCAAGTCAAATGCACCAAAACTGTTATGGTATGCACATATTTCCTAACTTGTTTATATATATACTTTCCCTCCTCAAAATGGAATATATGGTTAAATCGGTATGATATTAGCTTCTTCAAAGAAATACAATAGCTTTTCTTTATTTTGAATAAAATAACTGATGTTCTGTAGGTCCTTACTCTTGTAAACGCTATTATTTCTGTACATTGTGCTCTCTCTGTTTATTTTTCTTGTATAGTGTTTTCTATGTAACAGTTTAATTAATTGTTTTACGCAGTTGCCGGCAGTGGCAGAATTCTCATCAGGGGAAACTATGGGACATTCTGCAGATCGGTTGGCAGCTGCATTTAGTATTTCACGTAAAGAGCAAGACGACTATGCCCTGCGCTCCCACTCTCTAGCCCAGCAGGCGTATGATAAGGGATACCTCACAGACATTGTTCCAATAAAAGGTGTGCATCTATGCTACTTTAAATCTCTATTTTACTTCCTGAGTACTTGCAGTCAGTAACAGAATTCAGGTGAGAAGTGAACTGAATTTGATTACTTTGAATTTGTAGTTCCTGGAATAGCGAATGCGGTAACAAGGGATAATGGTGTTCGAGTTTCCTCTACTGAGCAGCTGCAGAAACTCAAGCCAGCTTTCATTAAACCACATGGGACGGTAACAGCTGGAAATGCATCTTTTCTGGTAAGAAGGATAAAGTTGTCTTGGTGTACTAGGAATTTGCTTCTACATTCCTCCAAAACAATTTCATTTCTTATAGTTACCCATATGTTTACTTGCAATACCTGATTTATGAGTTTCATGATATATGTTATTTTCTTAAATTGAAGAGTACAAAAATCTCTTTCCTAGACTGACGGTGCTTCTGCTTGCTTAATAACCACAGAAGCAAAAGCAAAGGAGCTGGGACTGAAACCAAAAGCCTACTTGCGAGATTTTGTGTATGTTTCTCAGGATCCAAAGGACCAGCTTCTACTAGGGTAAGAAGCGTATTGATTTGAACGGGCAATGTTGCATTACTGTTAGGTCAGGAAGGTTGTCATCTATGTGGTTCTTCTGAAGTGCACTGACAGGTTATATGCCTTTGTTGTAAAATCTTCGGATGATTTTGGAAAGTTTATGGAGTTTGCATCAACTAACTAGATGGCTTGGGGAACCCGAAGGATTATCACTGAATTAACCAAAGTCCTCCACTGGTCCCTGTCCTGGGGCAGCAAAATCCAATCTCCTGGAATATTTTATTTTATGCCACATTATTAGAGAAATAATTGTTTTATATGAGTGTGGAACATAGTGTCTCACATTAATTGAAGATGTTTGAGAATAGGATGCTGAGGAGAATATTTGGACTGAAGAGGAATGAAGTGATGAAAGCCTGGAGGAAGTTTTATAATGATGAGCTCCATAATTTATACTCTTTTTCCAAATATTATTAAGTTGATCAAATCAAGGAGGATGAGCGTGACAGACTTGTAGCACATGTAGCTTAGATATCTGTGATATAAATACAGGTAGCCCTCGAATTGTGCCGGTCCAATTTGCGCCGGTTCAGAATAACGCCGATTTTGAAATCAGAAAGTGAAAAAAATACTATTATTTATAATGTTTTACAATGTTTCTTATACTAAATCATAATTCTTACATCGCTGATTTTGAATAAAAATTATAAATACAGTCATCTCTGCAATTACGTATGTTTCGTTGACACGAATTTGCTCCAATGAGATCGATGAATCGGTAAAAGCTGTTTGTGGAATACAGACGTTTGCATATGCGAGTTTGCTCTTGTGCTACAGCGAAGAGGAGCATTATGACATTCATGAGGCCTTAACGTGAAATTTTGAAAGAAAGAAAGAAGAAATCACGACAGTCCACACTATGTGCCTTCTTTAAAAACATGACGATCTTCAACCAGGGACTTAGTCAGATAACTAACGCCGCTTCATCACACCATCTCTGATTGTAAGTGTATAAAATATATTTTTTAAATTCCCTTTATTTTATTTACGTTATTTCAGAGCTTTAAATGCAATGCCATTATATTACTCGTCAATGTTTGGGTGCTGGGTACGCATGTCATTGACTTCCCATTGATTTACATTATACAATCGTTCCAATTTATGCCGGTTCATCCAAGTTACATGTCCCTGGCGTAAATCGAGGGCTGCCTGTACAAGATTCAGATATAACCATGTGCCAAACACTAAACTCGGTAGATATCAAAAAGGAGTTTACTATACTGGAATTAAGTTATTCAATAATCTTCCCCACCACTAATAAGTTGGAATCATGACATAAAGAAGTTTAAGCCAGCACTAAAAGAATATCTCATTCCTTCTACTCCATAGAATAATTTACCTGAACCATACATTCTTGGCTATTATAAAGACATGTAAGCAGTAGTGGGTATGCTTTCTTGTGCAACTACTTTTGTGGTTACACAGTAGTTGACTGTAAATTACTATCTTAACTATGTAATTTATATTTGTAATAGAAACAAGTATTGTATATGTACACCTTCAGTAGACTTTGAAGTTAACAGTGTCATAGTTAGCAACCTTCTCTGATGTCTCATTTTCTAGTAGTTGGAAAAATGTGTATGGGACCGGTGCTAACCCGGCATCGAGAGGAAATTGGGGAGCTACGATGAGTAGCGTAATCCGGTCAGGAAAGCTAGCAATGGCTGGGGGTTCGTCGTGCTGACCACACGTCACTCTATATCTGGTCGGATGATCGTTCACCTCTGCTTAGGCATGTGAACGTGAGGCCAGCAGCCAGCTAGTCGACTTTTTCTCTCAGAGGGCTGTTACGCCACGGATTTATTTAATGTCTTGTTTTCATATTCGCAGTCCTACGTATGCAGTACCAAAAGTGCTAGAAAAGGCTGGTCTTCAGCTCAGTGATATTGATGTTTGGGAAGTTCATGAGGCTTTTGCAGTAAGTTCATACATTAATGACTTTTGTTACATGCCTGCTTGTTATATTTAAGGCATATCAAGAAACTAAAAGTTTCTTTACCCCAGTATCCTAATAAATATAAGAAAGTTTTGTATTTTAATTTGGAATGTTTCATATGAAAACAAATTTTCATGAAACTTGATATGAACATCATTCCACTAGAAGGCAACCCACCTTTGCACTTTTCAGATTCTTGCCATTGTAATACCAACATGATGGCCACGCAGGTTGCCAAGGTAGCAACATTAGCACCACTTAATTTAGGGTATTGAAATTCTGTATTTTAGTAGTTTTTTGAAAATTGACTTTTGTTGAGTTAATGTATTTTTGGACTGTAAAACAACAATAGAGTGGCTACATGAAATATATATTTAGATTTTGATTTGATGGTGATAACAAATAAACCATTTGAGCTAACACTTGTAGTTTTGTGTGAAGATGGATCATAAACATACTGGTATCTGTTTTGTATTATGCATTTTTATATGATAACAATAACATGTGGTGACTTTGCAGAGCTTTGATGTTATATCAAATGGAATGGGAATCTGTACTAGTGAAAGTTATATATTTAAGTGAATTATTATATAATCTTTAATGTAGAATTTCTAATGTCCTCACATTGAATCATTCGCTGTTCTTCCTAGAACTGCTTGGTTAAAAACAAATTGCTTTATTATGATTAGTTTTAAGATCTGAATTGTTAGATTAGTTCTCTTTTCTGCAATATTTCTGAATTACTTATTTATTCCTTAAATAAATAAGAACTCGATGTCTACAGATTGAGGCCCTATGCTTCACTTAGGAGCAAAAATGATCTACAGAATGAAAACTGGTATTCCTGCATTGTTTTTTATCTTACATTTGCACATCTGCTTGCAGGGTCAGATCCTGGCCAACTTGAAAGCAATGGATTCAGACTTCTTTGCTCAGAAATACATGGGACGGAATACCAAAGTTGGAGCTCCTGATCTTAACAAATTCAATAACTGGGGAGGTTCACTCAGTATAGGACATCCATTTGCTGCAACAGGTACATGACTAATTCTCATAACCTTTTGCCCCCCCCCCCCCAACCCATCCACACACAGATATCATATGCAGTAATCACAGCACTCAGTATTGTAACCTTGTTTCTGCAGTCCTGTGTCTTCTGTGCCAAGTAAAGTATAATTTATAAATAATCAGGAATTTGGTCACTTGTCTAAGGATCAGAGGATAAAGTCAAGATTTTTAACTTGTAGGTGTGCGTCTGACAACACATGCAGCCAATCGACTGATGCGAGAAGACGGCAAGTTTGCCGTGATTGCCGCTTGTGCAGCGGGAGGTCAGGTATGTGGAACCATTTAGCTGTGTTTGATACTTTTGCATGATTATTATGCATACTGTCTTTTTTGTGGTTACCGATGGGAGGATGGATGGATAGATGGCCTAATAGTCATTCTGTTCATCATTACCATCTCATCTCATCCGCGGCGCGCAACCCAGCCCTGCCTGCTTAATGTAACCAATCAAATTGCAGAATGGCTACAGACAGTATGCTAGAACAAGAGAGATAACAGGGCCTGCAGTTCTGAAGTAAAGGCTGTATGGTAGTATAAATCTCTGACAGTTTTAATGATGATATTTACCTTTGTCTTTTTCATTAATATTCCATATTATCTGACAGTCCTTCAGCTCGTTTACATAGGACAATTGGGACTCTGCTGTAATTTGTTTCATTTCAGCTTGACCGCTTGGGACATGTGTACCAAAATGTTATTTGATTTGAACCTTTCTTTGTTCATTGCAACCTACTGTATAACTGGTTATAGACTTTCACGTTGATCCACTATTCATGTTGAACCTGCTTTTTGGATGCTGGTACTATAGAAAAGTTGGATTCTTGCTGATGTTTCAGAGGACTGTACAGTTTGGCAACACGGTGACCTTAGTAAAACTGCTCTGCTACAAAGTTAAAGCTTGATCCAGCAATTATAGATGTACCTGTGTTGAAAAAAATGGGGAATTACTTTTGGTACATGCATATGACTGTGGGGTCCGTGGTGGCCGCACGGTCTGAGGTGTGGGCCTTGTGCCGCTTGGTCACGGACCGTGGGTTCGAATCCCACTCAAGCCATGGATGTTTGTCCGAGTTTTTTCTGTGTTGTGCTGTCCTGGGTACAGGTAGAGGCCTTGCGACGGGCCGATCCCTCGTCCAAGGAGTCCTACCAACTGTCTAGATCGAGCGAACGAAAAATTGGGACCCGCAGTGCTCAGGCACTTCAAGAACGGGTCGTTCCCAGTATCCCGGCATATGACTGTGATGATAATTATCAGTAATTAGTGGTGATTATAGTGATGGCAAGTTGGTACTTGTGTATGTAAATAGTATTGAATATTTCTTTTACGTTCCTCTACACTCGGTTTTTAAAGCATTCAGGTATGTGAATTAGTTTGTTATGGCAACCATTTTAAAAATGAAAAGTGTTTTTGTTAAGAAGTTCCCAGGACCAGTGGGAAAACCAAGTAACCTGACCTCTTTGTGTTTGAGACATCTTACATAAACCTATGTAAGTATTTACATCTGTTGTTCCCAAGACATTTCCACTTTGTGGGTCATCTGATGTCCAAGCTTCTTGGATTCTCTCTGCCTTCAAGTGGCTGTTATAAGTTTCTTCCTTTGTGTCATCTTTCCTAACATGTTGTTCCATCTCTATCCCAGTCTCCTTCTTGAGTGTTTTCCTTTTTATTTGCAGAGATGAGAAATAATTGTCCAGAGTCAGGCTTCATGTGAAAGCTTACAGGCCTTTGCTTGAAGGAAGAAATGTGAAAGAATACATTACAGTACAAACTCTATGCTTGGTTGACTTTGAGAGGAAATAAAAATGTTCTGATTTAGATAATTGTGATATTTATCATCCAAGGTCAAATACATGATATCCACTTGATAAAATTTCATTTCAGTGATTCATATTAAAGACATATTATGTTAACAGTGCTGGAATATTTTTAAACCTTTGTAAACATATACTATGTTCCTATATGAAATTTCTTCATGCCATCTCATGTAATTAGCATCTGTTTATGCTCATAATTAATGCATTCTTATGTGTAAGGTTTACCAGGGACTGGTCTTTTTCATCTGTAACAAAAATAATTTCACAGTTTATCAGTCAAGATTCTTCCTGTTGGCTCTAATTTAGCTGTTTTCATCAGCCTGCAGTTTCCTGTTCCATGCAACCATTTCATTAAATTTCTGGTACCAGAACTCAAAGATTCAACTTGACAAATATCAAGAAGTCCATCATGGACATTATGAGCCAGTTTCATCCATCTCCCACTGTCATAACCTGTTGTCATAAGTTTCATTGTAATGTCCATTTTCTCCCTGGTCTTACAAGTGGTCTTTTTGAAGGTTCCACTGACCACGAAACTGCTGTATGCAGTCCTTGTCTTCCTAATCTTGACTACTTTCCCAGTCCATTATAGTGTACATTTCACTATTCTAACAATATGTGACCTGTATAATCCACAAAGGTCCATGTCATGTTCTTGCCTAGTTATATACTTAATTCTTAGATTGTATAATTTTTTTACCTGCTTGTAATAATCTCTGCATAATATGCTGTATATATTGGTTTCAGGGTGTTGGAATGCTTGTTGAACGACATCCAGATGGGCAGCCATCTTAAAGAACATGTGTTAATTCTGAAGTAACAACCACGTAAATGGATATGCTTATCTAGGTACTGGGGCACCTAGAACAGGGCGAAGTTCATGCTCTTCTCTGTATTTTTTGATATCAACAATGTGAGGTATCAAAAATTCTTTTATTATTTACAACTTTTCCAGTATAACTGTATAATATTTCACACAAGGTATGTATATACACATATTAAATAACTTTCATATTATAAGTCTAGTTCTCACTAAGTAATATTTCTAATAACTTATATATATTGAATGCAGAATGTTTATATAAAACTGTGATGAAAGGTGAATTAAATCTATTGTGTAATTTTTTATGTGTGTGTTTATATACAGTTGAATAATTGCACCTAAAAGTTTAATATAAATATAATATTGAATACAGTGAACTTTCATAAAAGTTGCCTAGGAAACAGTATACACATGGAAGGTATTCCATTTATCCAGAAAGCTTTTACTTTAGATTAGATTAAAATTAAGGGGACAACTGACAAATTAAAAACGTGTAAGAAGCAAACCAGTTCAGCAGTTTCTGGAAGAACAGACCTGGTATTAGTGGTATACAATGAAACTAATGTATTCATAAGTATCAGTATAATACCAAAGCAGTAATCAAGGTATTACTATGTCCACACTGTATTCGATTCTTTATATTTTATGCTGTAAAATTACAGTTTGTGCCTTGGATTTTGAGGTACATTTTGTACTGTTGCAACATCCAACATGATTCCATATTTTCAGTGTCTTTGCAAAGAGAACAATGTTTGAAGTGGAAACCAGCTTTGGGAATATTCTCATACATACTTTTGCCTTGAGGTCTGTCACAATTGCATTATCTTTCTTAGTTTGTCAATGCTGTGATTTTTTAAATGATTGATGAGAACTGATTTAAGAAATGGTATTACTGCTGATATTGAATATTTATACCTGCTAGATGTTATTTACTTCAAAATGTCTATGGGACCAATATATTTAACTGACTTAAGAATATAATAGGCTTGTCCTGAAGATGGAGATGGTGTAATCCTCCAAAATGCTGGTATACAGCCAAGAAACTAAATGGTGAAATAACCCAAAATAGCACTCATAACACCATGTAAACCTCAAATATCACGAAGTGAATTTCATCAATAAATCTTGGTAATGTCAATGATGATGTCTATATGCCCAGCTCCATGATTTGCAAGTGTGTATGGGTAGAAGGGGTAACTCATTGTAGTTTTAACCTTGTAAGTGAATAATCCACTTCACATGTGATCCATTTTACTGAGGGGACAACCCAAAGGACCCGTTGATTAGGAGACATGGTTGGAGATATGTGGATTGCATGGCAGCCCAGAGTCCCTTCACTGACAGCTACCTGGGTTCACCTAATAAGCACAGAGTGCTTCAAGCAGATCACATAAAGGCTGTACCAACTGGAGGAATGTCACTTGTGCAGTGATCGGAAAGTCACACACACAGCAGATGTTTTAATCCACTGTCTGGGACTAAATATTACTGGATGAACATGACTCATTGTCACATACGTCTGTTGATACATGAAGACTTTCCTGACACGTCACTGAAAAGCACCTTTCATTGTTGCATTGGAGTTCTTTTATGCTGTGATGGTTATTTGCATATATAATATAGTTTCAAAATAAAAACATCTAGTGAAGGCAAGTCCTGAGATTGTGAAGACCACAAATTCAAAATATCGTCACTGAACTGTTCCAACATGGAGATTCTGGGATTTACCATTTTGCTACATCCCTGTGTAATGGCACCTCATGGAAAACGTGGATTCATGAAAAATATTTACTGTTTTGGCTGTGACATATTGAACGAGCTGTTGAAACTAGACAGTAACATACCATTTCAAGGTGCAATCACAACTAAAAGTTGCAAAAATGTGCCTGTTAGCTTCACCATATTTATCTTGTCTAAGAACTTGTGGACTGCTAACAGATTTTCATTAAATTTTATACTGGATTCTACTAAAAATGTGCCAACTCTTGACCTAATGCATTATTGCGTGAAAGGAACTGGGTAGAAAATTTCCTGCCTACCACCCAATCATGTGAGAAACACTGGCTTAAGGTCATCAACCAAGCAACCCCAGACACCCGGGTCACTGGTGCCATTTCTGAAGATAAAATTCTTGTAGAAGTCCCAGAATTGTTGCACTATTCACACATTTCCTAATTTGTTTGCTTTGTCTAGTTCTAACTTCATGCGCTGTGGTATGCACAAAGTTTAAAATGCTTTATTGACCTTTGTGCTTTTCTGCAGGCAAGTACATCAAATGCTGTTGAACTTCTTCAGTGTTTCGATGCTGATATTAGAAGGGCAACTGATGTCTGTTTTTCAGAAATAATTGATGATATGGTGTACTGTAACAGGAGAATTTGGAAAAGCAACCCTAAATTCATTGGTAGTTGGCATATGATCGAGACATAAAGTAACAGTCAACAGTGAAAAATTCATGTTTGCAGTTTGTATGCTTACACACAACTGGTATAGAGCCGGTGTAGGTCAATCAGTATAGTGACTGGCTACGGACTGGGCGACCGGGGTTCGTTCCCCAACGGAGGCAGAGGATTTTTCCTCTAGCCTCTGCGTCCAGACCAGCTCTGGGGCCCACCCAGCGTCCTATCCAATGGGTACCGGGGTCCTTTCCCAGGGGTAAAGCAAGGCTGGGGCGTGATGCTGACCACTCACCCCCATCTAGTGCCGAGGTCAAGAATGAGTAGGAGCTATACCTCCTCTCCCCCCCAAGTGCCTACATGGCATATAGTGGGACAGCTTTACTTTACTTACACACAACTGGTACAGCTTGTAAACACCATAACGTCATGCACTCAGCGTGTTTCCCATGTTCCACTGCTGTCACATGTAAACAAATGCTATGGTTTTCTCAGTTGCATTATCTCCTGCTTGTTTTGGTCATCAAGTCAGGCCATTAGACGATCCATTTCAGCCTAAAGTTTTATAACTGTCTAATAGCAATATTACATCCATTAGTTGAAACAAAATTATTTTGTACAGAATATGAAGTTCAGGTCCACAAATTACAGTTTCACTTGAGGTCTAATTCCCCACCCCACTGCACCTGACACCTCAATGTGCCTCCTTACAGCCTGATCCAGGATCTGATGAATGTCCCGACAGCCTTGGAGCGCACACTCCACCACTTTCGGTAAGTGGTCAAGGTGAAAGCGTTGCGACATCTCCATCAGAGCTACCTGTCACAATCAAATGGTAATGGAAGACTTAAATAGGATGTCTTATTACAATAGTTTATTTGTTACTTAATAATATTAAATGCATAGAAATGCAGAACCTACTCATTTCTCTCAAGAGACAGTGGATCTCTGCACTGAAGTGAGGAGAACCTTTAACAGAGTTAATTTAAGACAGATAATGGGGCAGGAACCATAGAAACTGACTACTAAATGACAGAACAAATGTTAGTGGTGAATTAAGAAGGGCAAAGAAGAAAGCTGGCATCAGAATTCGCCTACTGAAAATCAGGAACACCACAAAATTCCTAAAAATAACTTATCTTGGGGCCTAGATTTGGATCCAGAATCTCCCAAACATAAAACAGTCCTCTTTGGAGATGGCTGTCTTCTGGATTGTAGCGCTGTGTAGTCTGGTAGAAGTTGACTAACATTTCAGAGGTCCTTGCTGCCTTAGAAACAGTAAACGTCTATCAGACTACATAGCACAACAATCCAGAAGACGGCCATCTTCAGACTTGCCGTGAAAACCTCAAATCCTACACAGTCCTCTTTGGTTTATCATTCAGTGCTATCCTGTCCACCTGACAGTGTTCCTTATTTGCCTTATTATTGAACCACTTCTAATACCTAATAAAAGCTAAAATGCATAATTTGAATCTACAGTTTTACTCACCTGTCCGGAGAGTGGTAATGCTGCAACTGTTAAGTTTGGACCACCTGAGTTCTCTTCCAAGTGGCTGATATCAACCAATGGAACATCTCCATTTCCAAGACTGGCAGTGCAGGCAACCATATATTCTTTCATGGGTATGCCAGCATCCATAATAGCCAAGGTTGCTGCATTTACACATGCACAGTAATTTCCTCCATCTGCCTGAAGAACCTATAAACAAACATGTTTAGTGGCATGTAACTGAATTTCCAGACACCTCTTCCCTACAGGCAGCAATGCAATGAATTTTCTTGAAAGGAAGAGAACTGGCTGAGAAGTACCACAGTCCGCTGGAACACTGAAGTATGGCACTAAGCCCTGTACTTCATTTCACACTTTCACTGCCTACTTTTAGCTACAATCTATTTTTATATTACCATCCTCTGAGGTCCTCAACCAATACAGATGGGCAGATAAAGATATACATGAAAAACTATTGTGCAATCAACATCATGAAAAATGCTCTAACACATATTTCAGAACCATTCTGAGAGCTATTTTGACCAGAAACAAACCTCAACAAAGATGTCAATTTGTGAACGTGGATATACTTCTACCCTAATGGCTGCCTGAAGTGCTTGACGCAGGTGCATCGACATTTCTTGTGATTTCCTGTCACCTCGAGGTCGCCGCTTACGTTCACCTGTACTGAAGGTGGCCATGCTGTATTGACAGTTCACCAGTGCCTTATCATGAAGGGACTTGGTTCGACTTCCTCGGATCTGAAACAATCATGGTTCTGGCTGAACACACATTCTGTTACAAAGCATTCCTGAGTAATTTTACATGGAAACTTATAACCTAACATGCACAATATTACAATCTCCGAAACGTAAAATTCTTTAGGGTACAATTGAAAATTACTTGTTGGTGCACAACTGTTAACCCTGTTACACTTCTCAGCATGGTTTATTAAATATGAATATTAACGTGTCTAATTGCTGTTTTTTTCCATCACGTGTTAAACTGTTATGCATTACCTCATGAGGGCCATATACAGCTGCTAATACCTTCGTATTTCCTTGCTCTAGGTATGCACTACCATCTGGCTGACTGAATACGCCCAATTTACAACGTATTTGTCGCAGTTCATTCGCTCTACGGCCATCTAAACGTAAACCTTGATCTGAAAGTAAATGCATCCCCGCCATGTTGAAAATTTAAAAACAATATGATTGGATATTTACCTACAGCGTTGCCAACGCTAAAATACGCATACGTGTATAGATAAGCACGTGGTTATTTGTTCATCTCATCATAACTCGGTACAATGTAAATGCGTAGAATGTTCATGCCGGAAAAACGGTGGGTTTTCTACAGACGAGGATATTTTCTGTGGCCTACGCTTGTATCTTGATTGACACAATATAACGTGATTTTTTTATACTAACATTTACAAAAGTATTAGAATTTTAGTGACTTTTATTTGTCTTGGTCAAAGGTTTTTAGTTTCATGCAAAACTATAACATGCTACAAAGTAAAAGAAATAGGTTCCTAGATCGCTTAAGAGACCGATAGACAAAATCATGTTGAAGGCACTGATTATTGTCTCGAAGAATGTGAATCGAGAATCACACAGTAGACAGCTGTGTGCGTGGTAGTATCAAGAGTGAACCGGAAATCATATCGTATCATATGATTTGAATTGGTCAAGTATGGATTAGAATGTGGCATAAAGTGGAATGTTTCACGTTTCATTTCTCTTGAGTAAATTCAACTTTATTAGCAAGTTTGAAAATATTAGTTCATTTTACGTTATACGTTTTTGTAAGTATCACAAGAATTTGTAGGTTTCTGGATGACTGTCATTTCCTACTCTCCCTGCAGCGATACGCTGAGTAATGGGTAGTCTAGTAAAACGATTATTTACGTATTACGTAACATGCATGTAGCAGCACAGCCGACTCGCATTACTGGCAAGATGTGTTACTTGTATATATATCGGACTTCGTGAGGTTGGAAGCACAGTTGTCAGGATGGACGGCAAGGGAAAATTTCAGTTTGCTATTGACAGAGGTGGCACCTTCACCGACGTTTACGCGAGATGCCCAGGTGGGAAAATTCGAGTTATGAAGCTTTTGTCGGTCGATCCCGCAAATTATCCAGATGCACCAAGAGAAGGAATCCGGCGAATTTTAGAAGAGGTAAGTAAAATATGTCATGTCAGTCTCATTTTCAAATGCTGCAATAAAACAGAATACATACTGCGCCAGGCTTGTTACTTGTTGCACGAGTTGGTTTGTTGTTGAAGGGTTTGTGGAAGGGGGGGGGGGTCACTACACGGCAGAAAGACTCTCAGGACAAGGGGGGGGAAACAATTAATAAGGAAGAAAGAGAAATAGTGTAAAATAGGATGTAAAATAAGTCTCGAACAGAATGAGGAACAAGAAGGAAAAAATGAATGCGTATTTTAGTTCGCGGCGTACTAATATGTCGCCAACAATAAATACAGGTAGCCCTCGATTTGCGCCGATTTTGAAACCAGCAAGTCAAAAAGTGAAAATATATATTTTACTATTATTTTATAACGTTTTACAATGTATATCGTACTGATTCTTATACTAAATCGTAATTCTTACATCGCTGATTTTGAATAAAAATTATAAATACAGTCATCTCTGCAATTACGTATGTTTCGTTAACGCGAATTTGCTCCAATGAGATCGATGAATCGGTAAAAGCTGTTTATGAATTGCAAACTTTTGCATGTGCAAGTTTGCTCTTATGAAGTTTCATTCCTGGCGCTTTGAACTTTCAAAGGACTAATTTAATCTCTGCGGAGGTACCGGGGTTATTTTTACTACGTGATTTTGTGTAGATCGGCGTCTTATATGAATGCAACTATCGTATAACAGCAGAGATGACTGTACACATCAATCACATGAAAGAATCGCGGGGACCAACGAATTGCCGATTTTAAATGTGTAAAACATATTTTTTAAATTCCCTTTATTTTATTTACGATGTTGTATCCGAATAGTTGATGCGCAAGTAGTGAAGTGAACATTTAATTTAATTTAATTTTATTTACATGTAATTTGGTGTTAACACAGCGGTGAGTCCATGAGATTTAAAGTACTTATTACATCTATTTATATAAAGTATGTTTAAAATAAAACTCCCCAAGGGCCAGGGATTAATATTGAAAGTCAACATATGCATTACACCAATATACCATTATATTTTATTACTGTCACTTTGTTCATTGGGATCGAACTACATGGTTTTGACATCATATGGCATTAGAACACTAAATAACCCACATACGAAAACAAACAAGAACATTAATACAGCAGAACATCATTCTAATGTAGATTCTGCCATTTTTATCAACATCTTAATGATTTTACAAGATGTTGATTATTAAAACAAACTGCTAGTGGAAATTTGTAAAACTTTAATGTCATATATTATAGTTATTTGGATTGAAAATATATATACATAACACATATCAGTGCCATTGTTTCCTTACTTTTTGATGTCTTCAGTATTCATTATATTTTCATTTGTTGTTTAACAATAGGGGATATAATCCTTTCAATCTCTCCATACCTAGGAGAGTGAGGTATGCTGAATAGTTTGCTGACATTGTAGTTGTCATTCAGAATGACAGATTTGATCCCTTTTGCAGGAGACAGGCATGTCCATGCCAGTCAATCAGCCCATTGATGGGAATTTTATTGATTGGATTCGCATGGGCACAACAGTTGCTACAAATGCACTGCTGGAGAGGAAAGGTGAAAGAATGGCACTTCTCATAAATAAAGGTTTCCGAGACCTTCTTTTCATTGGTAACCAAGCAAGACCAAAAATATTTGACCTGGTAAGTGTTCAATACTCCATATATGAAAATGGAGTATGAATTGGGTTATTCTGTCTGCCTCAGAGCACTAATTGTCGAGTGTGTGTTCAGATTTAGGAGTTACCAAGTTCTGTTTCACTCTTAGGATCTTATTAAATTCTGAACAAATTCAGTACCTAAGTCATTACAATGTCTTCTGTCTGCAGCCACTGGGTTGAGAAATAAAAATACTACTAATGTTTCAAAGGAGCCTCCTCAATCTTAATCACTGTAGAAAATGCATTGGACGGTGTTCACCATGAAATCCTTAAATGGCATTCAGTACCTAATTAATATTTTACACATGCAGTAAGTGTGTACTTGATCATATGTGGGACAATAATAAATTTGTTAACAAGCTTGGTGATGTTTGCTATGTTCTTGAGATCTGCTCTATTCTGTTGGCCAACTGCAGTAGGTTGCTTGCTACAAGTAAACATTCTGTATGTATTGTATATTATGTCACTGATGTTATCATGGATTAATGTTGGTCTTTTGTCTTCAAGGGCTATGTTTAAAATTGAGCTTTCCATATTTGATAGGGCTTTCCTCTTTAGCTTTTTTCTGCTGGTTTGTGTTGAAATACTATACAATGTACTTCTCACCGTTTTATGTATACTCTGTAACAACTTTGTTTGATAGCCATTTTACTTACATTGTTAAGTAAATTTAATTATTCCCCAGTTGTCTGTGGTTACTTCTCACTTTATTACTTTGCAACAGCTTTTCTGCATGATATTCTTTTAACTGTACCACACACATCTTATATTAATTAAAATTATTAACTTTTATTTGCATTACTAGTATTAATAGCATTACTTGTTAAAGTAGTTAATCATATAATATTGTTTTGGCTCTTGTTAGTGACATTCCTTTGAATGCTGATGTTTATATTTTAATATGTAAGATTTGAGGTTTTCACAGCGGTGAGTATGAAGATTTCTGCTTTTAATTAATCGTGCATGGATTATTTAAATTGTGGATTATCTGTACACAGTTTTTCACTTAATTTTTGTTACTTATTGAATTTATAAATGGTTTATAAAATCTCATGTTGTATTTATGAGCAGTCTGTTGTCTTTTTCACTGTTTGTGATATGGGTTTTTACCTATCATTTTGTAGGACAGTCTTCACATCCTTCAATCTGTTGTAATGGACTTATCAATCCAGAGCTTACCTCATGTGTCGCACTGCTACTTTTGTACTTTTATAGTGACTAAAAGTATGCTCATGTCAATTGCCTGTATAGTCCATGGTGTAATCAATGTATGGGTTCATAATGAGATAATTGTCATTTTCCTGTATTTTGTTTAATTTTCTTCTCACCAATAACCAAGATTACTGAATGTTCTTTGCGCATGACTGCATTTCATTTGTTCCAGGAAATAGTGACACCCAGTGTTTTGTATGAGGAGGTAGTTGAGGTGGACTGTCGAGTAGTTCCTGCGCTACCTGGACGGTGCATGTTGACAGGACTTGAACATGGAGAGTGGTCACATTGGCGTCATGTTACAGGAACTACAGGCGAGGAGTTACTGGTGTGCCAGGAGTTGAATCAGGACACACTAAGAAAGGACCTGATTATTCTGAAAGAGAAGGGCATCGACAGCATTGCAGTGGTTCTGGCACACTCATACACGTGTGTATAAGTGGTATATGAACCCATATTGAATCACTGACAAGGGAGTGGTCTGTTTGGTCATGTTGAAAGTTCTGAAATTTTGCTCATTTACACAGCCCAACATAATGATTGTACACAAAATTTTAGCTGCCTGTATGCTGTCCGAGGGTGCACAAAGTTGTTTAGAATTGGAATGTACAGTTCAATTTGTGCCACCACACATGGACATGATAGCAGTGCTCCTAGTGGTGGCGTGAATTAAAATGATAAGGCTGTGACAGACTTGAGAGATATATTTTTATATATACTGAATAAGTATGCACATAGGAAGCATACATTTTATATTAGGAATTAAGCAGAGCAAACATAATACATGTGAAAAAGTTCAACACAAAATTATGCATTGTATTTGTCAGAAATATGAAACATGAGTAACATGAAGATATCCGTCTTCTGGGTTATTGCGCTGTGTCATGTTTAAAGCATTTTTTAAATTTTTACCACAAATATTGCATTAATGGTTTGTTTGCATATTCCTCTAGTTCACAAGCATATCTTATTCTGCTTGTCTTGTTGCACTGATCTTTGACCTCAGGTGTGTGTAATACCTGTGTAGTTTTGTCTGTACAGACAAGACAAAAAATTATATTTAATCCGAAGGTACAACTTACATCGATGCCTGGTAACATTCAGGATCAATAGATTTCTACATTCAAATACTTATATCAGATGAGAAGAGCATTCTACTACAGTGTATCCTCATTTTCTGAAGCACTGTTATTTATTATACAGGTTTTACGTATGTTGTTTCTATTTCCATGTTGTGGTTAGGCACTCAGAACATGAAGAAGCAGTAGGCCGCGTGGCAAGGCAGCTGGGTTTCAAACATGTATCTCTGTCACACCAAGTGATGCCAATGGTTCGTATAATTCCTCGAGGTTTCACAGCATGTGCTGATGCATACCTCACTCCACACATACACAAGTATGTACGTGGTTTTGCAGGAGGCTTCAAGGACAACTTGGCAGGTGTCAATGTGCTCTTTATGCAGAGTGATGGTGGTCTCACACGTATGGATACGTGAGTGCAAACAGAATTAATAATTTTGTAGATGCAAGGCAATGAAGAGAAGAAGCAAGAAGGCTGAGGTTTTCATGCTTCATATTTATGGTTTTAATTTGACAGCCAAAAAAAGAAAAGGATTTTCCTAACCATCAGTAACTGAATAATTTTTGTAACGGGAACGTGGGATAAAACGATAAAGCCACGGATTATTATTATTATTGTGAACTGAGAAAGCATCATGAAATGTTGACACATACAAATTCTTCTCAATCTTGTATGCATACTTATTTTAATTAATCTGTCAGGATTCTTTGATATTCCAAATTTCATTAAAATTTCCATTGTCATCCAAATACTGTTCATGCTTTTGTTCTAAAAGTTTTGCATCAAAAGACTGAGTGTTTATCATATTTAAGGCTTTGATGTGGGTAGAACAAAGTGATATGCATAACTTATTATTGGTTTTACTTACAATTTAATTAAGTTTTTGCATTTCACTTTCTTTCTTTCTCTCCTAAAGCACCCACTATAATAATTACTGTGAAAGTCTTGTGGTATTTGGTGGTATTTATTTTCTTGCAGTTTCAATGGGTCACGTGCAATATTGTCAGGACCAGCTGGCGGAGTTGTGGGTTATGCAGTAACAACATACAAGCAAGAGACAGATTTACCTGTCATTGGGTTTGACATGGGTGGAACATCGACTGATGTTAGTCGATTTGCTGGGGATTATGAGCATGTGTTTGAATCAACCACAGCTGGAGTCACCATACAAGCTCCACAAGTAATGCATTTTTGACACAGATATAAGCAGTTTTAAAAATATACCAACTAACAAAACCCTTAAGCCGCTTGTTACATTAAGTCTGAACTGGATTTTAACATTTTGGTTAATTGTGCTTAAGAACCAAAATAAGTTAGTACAGTGACTCCAGAGCACTTCTGTGGAACAGGATTGAACTGCTCAGGCTGTGGTGTTTGTCATATTGAATCCTGGAATAATATTACCAGATTTAGATGGCTGGTTAATTCACTTGGGAAGTCCAAGATGGAGTTTCGGAGAATTAGAATAGACAATACAAACCAAAAGTAATGAGTATATTTATTTTAGTCTCAGAGTGTTTATTATTACTTATCAAACTTTTAAATGTGAGCACATCTGTTTTTGGGATATTGACAACTTCAATTCTGGACTGACAAAAATATGGAAATGGAATTGAGAAATGTTGCATGGAAGCAAGAAATTCCGGAAGGAACTCATGATTCCTGATTTCCTTTAAATTCTTCTGTCTATGTACAGTGGTTGGCAGGAATGATAAAATTATACAGTTTTATTTGTAACATTTAAACACAAAGTTTCATACAAAATATGTCGGTGCATTTGTGATGTTTCCCTATACCAGGTTTCACAATTGTAATTGAAATGGTTCTCTAGTTATTGCCACAGTACTAAAAGATAAATATAAATTTGCACAGTTGACTTGCTGTTATTTTGCTTTAACAAGTATATTTTTGAAGGTATTTTATCATGAGTGGCTTGGCAAGGGGTTGAAATAACATGTTTTTGTCATATAATAATAAAGGTAAAGTTCTTGAGCTGAGCATCTACATGAAGGCTTCTACTCTTTACAAATAAATATGTAAATTGGTCAAATTTGTAATAAAATATTAGGATTTCAGGTTTTCATGGTGGTGAGTATGAAGATAGATGTTTTCTGGGGTGTAGTGCTGCGTAGTCTGGCTGAAGTTTACCAACGTTTCAGACGCAGCAGGCATCTCTGAGACTTCAGTAAACTTCTACGAGTCTGCATGGTGCTACAACCATCTTCATATAATCAAATTAATTTGCTCATTGCAGTGATTGTAGTAAAGTATGACAAGTAGTAGTTGAGCTTTCTGTGCTTGCAGCTGGATGTCAACACAGTTGCTGCTGGTGGTGGGTCCATGCTGTTCTTCCGTTCAGGTCTGTTTGTAGTTGGGCCTGAATCTGCAGGAGCACATCCAGGTCCCATTTGTTACCGCAAAGGAGGACCTATTACTGTGACCGATGCCAACCTGTGCTTAGGACGACTTCTGCCTGAGTACTTTCCTAAAATATTTGGTCCTTCAGAAAATGAGCCCCTGGATAAAGCAGCCACTACACAAGCTTTCTACAAACTCACTGAAGAGGTATGATTCTTATCATAATGTATATATGATCTTTTTTAACCATTTTGTCAGAGTTTATATAGTATTGAATTTCAGGTTAAGTGTGAGGGATGCTGAAATCTTGTTATCTGCCCCATTAAAATTAGTTTACCTTCATACATAAGCAATGGAAAGTCTTTACAGTCCACGACTGTAATCTTGAGACTTGCAAGGAATGCAGTAAGTCCGGATCGTTAAAGGCAGACGCTATCTTTCCTCCTTCACCCCACCTTCTCACCCCACAAGTCTCTAGATTACAGTCGTGGACTGTAGTTTTTAAAGATGTCATAGTGATCATAGCAGGTGGGGCTGTCTTAAAGTTGCCTTTAATAATTTCAGTAGAATCAGCGTAATGTCTAGGTGATGTGATGCTGATACCATCCACTGATTTTATTTGGAGAAAGTTTTCTAAACAACTTTACTTATATCAGATACATGAAAAAATCTCAAATATAAATGTTTTGAGGTTATTTTGGTTTAGGCTAAAGTAAACATAAGCAAAACATTTGTTTGATTGTTCCTTAAGGACTTATTTGTCATTTCAAGCAGACTGCCGAATATAAAATGGGTAATGTCATTTGGTGATGAGCTATGAAGATGATTGCATGTCAATTTGAACTACCTGTGGCTCATTGGTGGAATGATAACTGACAGGGGAAAAGTGTTTTTCTCCAAGAGAACCTTCCCCACCATAAATATTTTCTTCACTATTGTTATATGGACACTTCTGGGATTGATCTTTGGCCTCTGCAATGAAAGGCCATCATATAACTTGCCTTACCTATAGCACAGTCTGTGCTGAGAAAACAGCGAGAGTTTTATTGTCATGAATATCGGTCTGACCATGTTTCTCTTTGTGTTTGAATTCCAGATCAATAGTTTTCTTAGCAGCCAACCAGACACCAAAACCAAGCCTGCAATGACTGTAGAGGATGTTGCTATGGGTTTTATACAGGTTGCCAATGAAGCCATGTGTCGTCCAATCCGAGCCCTGACACAGGTACGGATTTATGTTTGTAAATTGATTTGTTATTACCGGTACTACTTACAGAGAACATTATTTCAATAACAATTTGTACAAACACCATGTGACACTTTACATAGGTTCCGTTTATACAACAGGCTTGATCTTCTGTTTCCTTTCTACGATCAACCTATCTCATTTAGTAATACCATCCATTTCTACTATAAATTTGATAATATAATGAATGAGGATGACAAATGACCAGGAGAGATTGTTGGCTGTGCTTTATTAATAAGTAAGAAATGTTCATAAACAAGTTTACAGGTCTTATATCTTGAAGTATGTCACTGAATGTCTATAGATAATACAGTGTCTTTGCACAACTCTTAAACTATTTTTCATACTAGTCCCCTGGAAGACTGAGACATTTATTATATTGCAGATGGTTTTCCCTATGTCTTGTTGATAGAGATCAGTGTCTTGTTTATGTAACCATTCTTTATATTCTCTCAATATCATTGTCAGTTTTAAGTCTGTGGCTGCCTATTGGAAGTTGCTTCAGCACTTTCGACAGATGATGATTATTTGGTGCCGGCTCAGTGTGAAGTTCTGATATTTTTCATTTGAACTTCTGAAAAGTTGCCAGGTTCAATGGCAGAGTGTGGTAATACGTTGTCATGGAGGAGCAAAACACCCTCACTGAGAAACATTTCATTGTTGTACCATAAGAAATTTTCATAAGGTGGGGATAAATTCAGCTACATTTATCAGGATCAGAAAGAAAATAACTGCACAGTCTTCTTCATTGGACCAATTTTTGAGCAGTCACCTTGATGAAATAATTTGTAGAAGCACTACTCATTAGTTTGCAAGAAACAAGCTGTGTTAAAACCATGATTAAAGGATTCCGTGTCATGCATGTAAATACGCTATATGTTGTTTGGTTTACAAAATGTATGTTTGACTATCAATCTTGCGTTCTGGTTTGTGATGTCATGAAAACTGCAAGTCTCAGATATGTGCCTTACTTCTTGACTACTCGTCATGTGCTGTAAGAGAGCTGTGAAAGAATTATCCCCTTTCATCTCCAAAAATAATCATCACCGTAGAAGATGCTTGGTATAAGATCTCTAAACAGATAGAAGAAGTGTTGTACAAGACACTTGACAGACAAGCTAGGCCTAAAAAGATTATTTTTCTGCATTGACAGGCTAAAGGCTATGATACAAGCCGCCATGTGCTGGCATGCTTTGGTGGTGCAGGAGGCCAGCATGCGTGCTCCATCGCTAGGGCACTGGGCATGGGGACAGTGTTTGTACACAAATATGCTGGAATTCTTTCTGCGTATGGAATGGCTCTTGCTGATGTGGTGCATGAAGCACAGGAACCGTGTGCCAAGATTTATGAACCAGGTGAAATAGTTTTTGTTTCTGTGGACTAGCAAACACTGATTTACTTTCAGCTTTACCGGCTAGATTAGTTTGTGGAATTTATTGTGAGTTAGTAATTTTAAATTTGTCATTTTAAATCATATGTTTGGTGGGTTTATAGGTGACTTACTGCAATGGTTATTTTTGACTGTTATCATATCAAATAGTGATTAAAATCTAAAATAAGAAACTACTCTTATCATAATTTAATTTAATAATCATAATATAAATAATAATAATTAACAGATTGTATAAGTTACAGAGAGAATTAAAACTGTTTTAGAAGTAGTTGTCATGAACATGGTAAAAGAATGGGAGGAAAACAGATATATTAAGCAAGGTTTTGAATTTGAGTCTTTTTGGAGAAGGGATGTTAGAAAACCAATAAAAGAGTGAATTGTCCAAAGGACGTTTTAATAGAAGTGGAACAGGTAGTTGAGCGTCATTCTTGATGATTATTATTATAGGTAAGATTTCAGGTTATCATAACAGCAAGCATCAATTCTTACATATGGTATCTGTAACACTGGTAAAAATTTCCCATTTGTACAGATTCTCTCTGTAATTTCTTCTTGGATATTTGTATGTAAAGAAATTTTGTTATCCAAATACAAAAATTCTTTCTTCAGAGATTTTAAAGTTCATTTTATTGCTTGCACATGTGTATCCCAGTGCAACAACAGCTAGTATAAAGAAGGTCCCAAATTTTAGTCATTTACATTGATTTTAAGGTGTTAGCACATGCAGTATGAATTTGATATTTGAATGTTTTATATGCCACAATAAGAGTCACATAGTGCTAATCATGTAGCATTAAAATTTGACTAATTTTCATTCTATCTTGTGGCAGAATCATTCCAATACCTTGATGAGCGGCTGAATGTGTTGGCTGAACAATGTCAGGTGGAACTGCAGAAGCAGGGATTCAAACCTGAACAGATACACACAGAAGCATACCTGCATTTGCGTTATGAAGGAACAGATTGTGCCCTCATGTGCACTGCAGATTCAGACAGCGAAGACAAGACATGCAAACATGGAGACTTTCACAAGACATTCTTAGAGAGGTAAGGTCACTGAAAGTCATACATAGGAAGGTCTTGAACATATTTCTTATACATTAAACTAATCAGAGTGTACATGGTATTTAATGGACTTCTACAAAAGAGTGCCAATTTTTAATATGTATCGGTATAAACTGTTCGGCTGCATGGATGCAGCATACCCAATTTGTAATTCTGTGAAGTCATAATTACAGTAGTTGAAGTTCCTCTGATGTCATGTTGAAATAGAATGCTGTGATAGGGTTCCAAAAGAATTTTAGAGGAAACTGTTTTGATAGATTTCTAACAAGGAAAGGTTCTGTTTTATCCAGAAATTTCCAGCCTTCATAGAACTTGAAGGTTTACAGAATATCAGAGTTGGACCCTATCCTGAGCCAGTTCAGTCCATAGTTGTAGGTGGCCTATTATGACAGCTGTACAAATCAAAATCTTTCTATCCTGTTATCTTTTATTGGGCTCATATCAGAGCTTGTTCTTTCAACGTGTTCCTTAATATATTTTTGAACACAGTCGTATAAAATCTTCTATTTCTAAATTTCTTTTATGGTCAAAGAAAGTCTGTGTTATGAAACAAATTTTAGCTCTTATTAATCTTCTGTGGTGGCAGAAAGTTAAAAATCTTTAATGTTTTGTACATTTTTGCAAGTTTATTTTATTTACTGCTTCATTACCTGTTGGACATCAAAGTAGATTGTGTTGTTGCTCCATTTGGAGAAAGTTCCACATCTTATCACAATATGCCACTAATGTGTGCTTTGTTCTAAAGGTACCAGTGTGAGTTTGGGTTTACGATCGAAGGCCGTGCAATTGTTGTGGATGACATTAGGGTTCGAGGTGTAGGCAAATCATTTGTTCATACAGACAGTCCAGTTCCTGCTGCAGAAGGACCACCAAGAGTTGACAAAGTAAGTTGATGGCAATGCTGTTTTTATGTAAACAGAAAAATAATTAATTTAGTTATTTCAGCTGAATATAAATAGCTATTATGTTAGTGATAGGGAGTCATGAGATGGTTATAATAATATTATTATTGAAAACAGGTCTCCCAAGTGGTTTCTTCCCTTCAAGTTTTCTGAAAAAATTTTGTTTGTGGTTCTTCTGTCCTGTGTGTGTTACATCTTCCACCCATCATCTTATTCTTCCTGATTTGTATGTATGTATATATGTAAATGGGCTGGGCATCAAAGTGACCCTTGCATGGCAACTATTAACTGATATTTGGCGCATCCTTGTTCCTCTGATCTGCCAGTAGGCTTGTTCTTGCGTAAAACATCGTATTTCACTCAGTGGAGTCTCATGAAAATCACCTGATACCAGAAAATGTCTACCCAAATGGCAAAATTACAAATCTGGTGGCCATAGCCTGGCCCTTCCCATACATCCCATGTCTTATGGAGTCCATGGTTCTTTCTTGATTTAGTCACATGAATGTTATTACGTGAAGAGTACAAAGTATGTAAGATTTGAGGTTTTCACAGCGGTGAGTATGAAGATTTCTGTCTTCTGGGTTGTTGCGCTGTGTAGTCTGGTCGACGTTAACCAACGTTTCAGAGGTCATACTGCCTCCGTCATCAGGGCGGTGAATAAGCCAAAGGGTTTGTGGGGCTAGGTTTCCGGCCCTACAAACCTAGCCCCACAAACCCTTTGGCTTATTCACCGCCCTGATGACGGAGGCAGTATGACCTCTGAAATGTTGGTTAACGTCGACCAGACTACACAGCGCAACAACCCAGAAGACAGAAATTTCAGTACAAAGTATGAATTTTCTTAACATAAACAGATGCAGATACTTTTTAATCATTGCTGTGAGATGTGATGCTTTGTGTCACAGGTGACTGAGGTGTACTTTGAGAAAGGTTATCATCGTGCTTCTGTGTATGTTCTGAGTGACCTGAGTGCTGGACACGAGATTCCCGGTCCGGCCATTATTATGGATAACCTGAGCACAGTTCTTGTGGAACCTGACTGTACTGCTTCTGTTACTTTAAGAGGGGATATCAAGATTGTGATTGGGTTGGGTGAACTCAAAAGAATTGGTACAGAACTGGATGCCATTCAACTTAGCATCTTCTCACATCGTTTCATGAGCATTGCTGAACAAATGGGCAGGTGAGTATACTGTGCAGAATATGACAAAATGGGTTTCTTGTGGTCTTTCTCATTCCCTCAAAGTGAATGAAAGCTGCTATATTAACTAAGATATGACTGTTTTTTCCATCCCTCTGTAGTTATCATTAATGTAATATTTGTCCCACTCTGTCTTTCTGTGTTGTGTTACCTCGTAAGTTCTGCAGAACTGCATAAGTAGCAAGTAAATAGGCAACCAATTTAAACAATAGAATGCATTTTTAAATATAATAACTTTTATTTTTGAACACTTCCTATTTTGTGAGAGTGAAGAGACTGCCGTCAACATTTGAATTATGTATGGGAGCCCAAACTTAGAAATCTCTACAAAACAGAAATTTTATTTTGGGAATAGCAAACAATTTTGTCTTGAAGCAGATTGAATATTTGTATCATTCCTAGAAACTAAATGTATATATACTATTGTAATGCAGATTATAGTAATTTTTCAAATGTTAGGCCTATAAAACTTTGTACACGAGTTGAGCAGTGTGTTTACTTCAAAAATTAATCTTATATCTTTCTCTGTTCTCTTCAATGACATGATGGGTTTTGTCCATTGAGAGTTGATACTGGTATTCTAAGTTGTTTTATGAATACCGACTTCGTATGTAGAATTTTTCTTTCATGTTTCTATCATATCTTATCAAACATGCAAATTTAAATAAAATGGCTGCAAGGCATGCAGCAGGCTCAGCTAACATTTTATGATGATTAAATTCTTTATTTTAACTTGCTGGCACAATAGTTAATAAATAAATCAATATAAGAAGAGAATACAATATGACCAAGAAATAAACATACCAATGTTAGCAAAAGTATGTATTTACCATTTGACAGATTTTAAAAGAATATGAGAGCTTTAGTTCTGTAATAACGCACAGATTGGCAACATAATGTATCAGGTGTCACTATACCAAATTAAACATTTTTAATATCTAAACCATCCCATCAGATTTAGAGAAAGAACAAGATACAGTAAATTCCTAACATATTCAGCCATTATAAAGATTAAGCCAAAGCAAACATGTGGAAGGAAAGATTATGTTTTATAGATAAACGATGTTCCCATTTACTGTTATGAATAAAATATAAAATAATTATTTAGCCTGTCCACCGTAGTGTCAAGCAAAGAATAATGATTACCAGTAAGTAGAAATCCAATCTGTGTACATTCTTCACCATAACAGTAACAATAACAAAAATAGCATCAGATAACTTGAAGACAAAACCACATTGGAAAGTAAAGTAATGCTTGCAATATAGCAACCAACTCCTCAGAGTAGCCAATGGCTAACCAGTCAAGAAGTGGCACAGAATCTGGTAAACACCAACTGTTTCCGACTATTTTATTGGTTGTGTTGTTAATTTCTTCATTATTCCTAAATTCCTTTTACAGTCCCAACAAGTATAGCTGTTCTACTCATTAATTTAATATGTTTTTTTTATATATCCATGGTTTTACCATACCAGATCTTCTTCATTATAATTATGCCCTTTTTACTGTAGAATTTTACAGCGGACCTCAATATCAACAAATATCAAGGAGCGGTTGGATTTTTCTTGTGCCTTGTTTGGCCCAGATGGCGGTCTTGTGTCTAATGCTCCACATATACCAGTGCATCTGGGATCTATGCAGGAGGCTGTCCAGTATCAGGTAATTGACCACTCTCAGCAGGGAGTCAATCGGGATTTCTGCCATCTTCATTTTGCTAACATGAATGTAATTTGCTAAGTATGAAGAATAGTGCTTCATTGGACCTAATATTTATAAAGAGAACATGCAAGTGCATGCAATACATGCAAAGTACTATATAATACATGTTTTCTCTCAGGATATAAATAAAAAATTGCCTATAGCAAATATAGCCTGATCAAGTTAAAACGCAAAGCAATTATACGGGCTCAGTACTGCCAGTATCAATAAGAAATTAACATTTCAAGGTAAGTGGTTTCATTACAGTGTTTTAAGAGCAGTTCTTTACCAAAGGTCTTGAGTTCAAGATTGGTCAGATCTAATGAGGATTTTTCGGTACGTCTCTTCCTTCCCTCACCTCTGACAAAGGCAAAACTTTGTGAATGTGCTGTAGAAAAATGTGTTTCTTATGTTTCTCCGCCTCAAAATATGTTGGGGAAGTTGGAAAAGACCTGTTGAGTTGAGGAATTAATAACAACAGAGTCAACATTTTGGTTGTTACAGATGCGATCACTTGAAGGTGGTTTTCAGGAAGGTGATGTCATTCTGACCAACCACCCAGCTGCCGGAGGTTCACATCTCCCTGATCTTACAGTTATAACACCTGTCTTCTATAAGTGAGTGCCTTACAGTTCTTAAATTTATGCTTTTTGTTTTCTGTGCATGGGGTGCATAAATTAAATGCTTAAAAAGAAAGTCATGTCATCCGTCTGTCTCTCAGTCCACTTTTCATTCCTTTTTATGAAACTTGGTATGGATGGTCTGCTGTAAAGCATATTGGATGGATTTTATTTAGGTTAGCATTGGTGGACTGTAATTCGTGCTTTCATGAATTTCAAATTGAAGTTTATTATACTTCTCAGAAGTTAGTGTTAAGCGGCCCATCCATGTACGAGTCTGACTTGCGAGTCTGGCTCGGCAAGCTTGGCCTGTGAACCGGGCTCAGATATATTTCACCACACATGCATAGCAGACTTGGCTCGTGACACCCCACCCACAAATGAGTTTGGCCCAATGGAACCCAAGCCGAGCCAGTCTTGTACGTGGATGGGCCGCTTTAAGTAAGTGTCTGTGACATGTGGCCAGGAAAAGTCACTTGCTGCACTACAAGTAGACCAAAGAATGTTTTGCTTATTTGAATTTGGTGTAAACTTTATTGATAATACTTTATAACACTGGAAGTTATAAAATAGTTAGTAGTCACAAAAAAATACTGCAGACAGTGGAAAGCAACAAAGAGATGCGTGATAAATATTTATGTAACTCATCCAATGTACAAAGTTTAAAAAAAAACACCATGCTGATTAAAGTTTTGTATGAAACCATCATGCATATTTAACAATCTTTGTATTTGGATTTTGGACTTTTGGTTACCTATGTTATGTGTTGAAGATTTTCTAACATTTCAGTGAGAAAAATGTTAGATGAAGTGACATTTTGAGCGGATACTTGGTTCAAGTCCTGCCGTTGATGAGTTTTCTTGAATTACTTTATAGTTTGTTTGAGTCCCTTTATGTGAATCCTGCAGTAGTACTTTGAAATAATTACTTCCTGCCTAGTCCTTTCACTTAACCATACAAGATAATCCTCTTATCTCATTTGATCCTAAATAATCTGTACATTTGCTACAGCATCATTATAAACGTATAATCCCTCCATTAGCACAGTATCCTGAAAGCCAGGAATTAGAAAATAAAATGCTTGTGCTTATAGGGGTGAGAGCAAACCTGTGTTTTTTGTGGCGAGCCGTGGACATCATGCAGACATTGGGGGCATCACACCAGGGTCGATGCCACCACACTCTAAGAGTCTGATTGAGGAAGGAGCAAGTTTTAAGAGCTTCTACTTAGTGAAGAAAGGAGTGTTTAATGAAGCTGAATTAGTGGAGGCGCTAATGGCTCCAGCCACAGTTCCAGGCTCCTCGGGGACACGGAACCTACAAGACAATTTGTCTGATCTTAAAGCTCAGATTGCTGCAAATCACAAGGTACTGGCTGTAATTTGTAGAAGTTACAAATTACTGATCTGGAAAATTTACAGCCAGTCGCTAATTAATAGAATTAACTAGATAAATACAACGGTTCTAAATATGCACTACTGTGTTCATTTTTTAATTTAGTGCATTCTGTTGGCACATAAAAATACAAAATTATTTTATTATGTTTGGAATGATGAGTTTAGTCTGACTGAAATAGTTATTGATTATTGAAGTTTTACTATGTCTTTTATTAGAATATAAATTATCTTTGAATTTTAACAATTTAATCAGTAAAAAAAAATGGTCCAAATTTGATTCCAGATGAAGTGTAAGAAGTCTGGGATATGTTGTGGTAGTTCTGGTCATGAAGAATGTGAAGATGAATCACAAGAATTGTCAGTTTTATCTTCCATGATTTCTGACACAATTACCTTTCATCAATTACAGTCAATCTGCTACATCTTATTTCATGTTACATAATGGCAGCATTAGATGCAGTTTTGTAAAACAACAAAATATCCAACATCCTATCAAAGTCGTTAAACTTTTTATAAGGCGGTTATGTGCGATGATTATGTTTTGGTCACAACTGACGAACAAACTATTATGAGAAATGATGAGGTTCCCACAGCAATCAAGATGTCGCTGTTGATCTTCTGGGCTGTAACTCTGCGTGGACTTGTATGTGGATACATACGTTTTGGAGGAACATACTGCCACCAGCTTGAACTCTGAAGATAGAGGGCAGTGTCTTACTCTGAATTGTTGGTGTACAACTGCGTATCCATACAGTGTTACAACCCATAAAACCAACATTAATATTAAAAAATATTTTTTCGTTGAAATCATCAGACCATCCCCAAGTTTTCAAGGAGCATGTGTTTTTATTAGTTTACTTGTGAGGAAATTGGGGAGCTACATTTTGGTAGCGTAATCCGGTCATGAAAACTAGCAATGGCTGGTGGTTCATTGTGCTGACCACACGTCATCCTATATCTTGTTGGATGATCGTTCACCTCTGCTTAGGCATGTGAACATGAGGCCAGCAGTCAGCTAGTCGGCTTTGGCTCTCAGAGGGCTGTTATGCCACGGATTATTATTATATCTATAATGTTGGGACTCTGAAATGCAACAAATACCTCTGTCTGCAGGGCATCAGCTTGGTCGCAGAGCTGATAGATGCCTATGGCCTTGATGTAGTGCAGGCGTATATGCATCATATTCAGGCCAATGCTGAGGTGGCTGTGCGGGACATGTTGCGAGAGATAGGGACAAAGGTTCTCCAGCGTTCTGGTGGAAATGAACTAGAGGCTGAGGATTACCTGGATGATGGATCACCCATACGACTCAAAATCAGCATTGACATTCAACGAGGAGCAGCTGTGTGTGATTTCAGGTGCAGTTTATTTTGTTTGCAGTTGTCAATTTCTGTATACAATATTCCTAGTAAATGTAAATTGAAATTGTGTTTGTGCCTAAGCTAAGGGGACACGGAGGAAAAGTTTCACTCATTCTTACCAAGGAAAGAGTTCCTGATATATATTGACTAAGTAATTGGGTAGATACAGAGCAGGACAGGATGTGGTGACATAAAAACACTTCTTCTTGCTGGAAATTAAACCCAAGTGCCTAGCGTATAAACAGCTTTTTTGAATATGCTATATTTTTAGCCTAATTTCCGTATTTTATATATAAAGAAAGAGTGGCTTATGCTGTAATAGATGATTTACAAAACCTGCAAGCTCCAAAACAGGGCATTTTACAGAAAAGCCAAAGTATTACTAGATAATTGTAGGACTTGGGAATTATCATATTTTGTAAATTAGTATACAGTAAATGGTTCCCAAAAGTTGAGCACAGAACAGCAGCCCTTCTTTGAGAAAATTTAAATAAAAAGTAAATCGTAGCAAATTTTGGGAGTAAAAATGAAATGGTGAAGTAGGCTTTATAAGTTCTTTTCAGAATTGTTCTTGAGATTGAAAGTGTACAGCATTAATTTTACCGGCAACAACAGGAACAATAACTTACTTTTGATGTGTGTGCAGTGGCACCGGCTGTGAGCTGTGGGGCAACTGTAATGCTCCAAGGGCCATAACACTGTCTGCTCTCATCTATTGTCTGCGTTGCATGGTGGGGCATGATGTGCCTCTAAACCAGGTAATGGCAGATTTGTGTAGTGATAATGCTATAAACTTGAATTTAGAAATTTCCTGATCTTTTGCTTGTTCTGAGGTTTCCGTAGTTTTCTCAGTCTTTTTAGGCAAATGCCGGGATAATACATCCAAGTATAGACTATGTGTGTCTCATTTTAAATCCTTATCTATTCACTAGTCATGATATAATCTCTGCAGTTGATACAACATAATTTAATACACAAGAAGAAAAAAGGTGAATAGGTTAAGCACCAACATAAGCTGTGGTAACAAATATTGATATAGTTTCTCAGACAGTACAGGTTAAGTTTAAATTATAAAATAAAATTACTCCTAATTTCTAAAGACAATAAAGTTTTGTCACAGATTTTTGAAAGTTTCATTGTAAAAGGTATACTATTGTTTGTAGTAACTATAATTTATTGTATAATGATAGAAAATTCATAAGCTGCTTATCAAAATCAGCAAACTGTGTGTGTGTAAAAATAATTTCTATCTGAAGTGAAAATTCTACATTGCATAATGTATAAACATTTAGATATGTTGATGAATATTAATTTTATAAACATTTTATGTGTAGGGCTGCCTGAATCCAGTAAGAGTCATCATTCCAAAAGGCAGTTTGCTTCATCCGTCAGATACTGCAGCGGTTGTTGGTGGAAATGTGCTGACATCACAACGCATAGTTGATGTTGTGCTAAAGGCTTTTGAGGTTTGTGCAGCCTCTCAGGGTTGCATGAACAACATCACATTTGGAGAGGAGAAATGGGGCTACTACGAAACAGTTGCAGGGGGAGCTGGAGCCGTAAGTTCAGAATTGTAAAATATTTGAAGTTTCCATGGTGATTGTATAGAATGAAATATTCTTGGATGTCTGGATGCTTCAATACAGAACAACAATTCAGTATTTTAGAGACTGTCTCTGCCTCCATCACCTTGAACTTCCTGTAACATTTTGTAAACACTGGTGAATTTTTTCCCAGTTTTATGAAAAAAAATTTATCGATTTTCTGTTCATAACAATTTACGACCTCTTTTTTGGCAAACAAGAAAATAGTGCAACTGCAAAACCATTACTGCAACCACAAACTGAATTCCAACAACAGTTTGACACAAAATTGATTAATTATGTAGTCTCATGATCGCACATGCCAATTAGTGTTGCCAGTTGCAGTCTGGTTACATGTCGCACCCTTTATACGTTTAAGCCTCTTCATTGTTTGGGAAATGACCATGAGATTAATGGGTGGTGACAATTGATCACTCGTGTGAAGTAAATGATGTAATTGCAGGGACCCACCTGGCATGGGCATAGTGGTGTTCATACTCACATGACCAACACTCGTATCACAGATGCCGAAATTCTAGAACGTCGCTATCCGGTTGTTCTTCGCCACTTCAGTCTATGGCCAGATTCAGGAGGTTCTGGTCGTTTCAGAGGAGGCGACGGAGTCGTTAGAGAACTCTTGTTTAGGCGTCATATCATGCTTTCTGTTCTTACTGAACGCAGGGTGTTCCATCCATATGGTATGAATGGTAAGTTACACTAGCATGTATTCTTTGTATTGAGTGGGTACAGTTGTTGTGAATGTGAGTGGAGCATTCTACAGTTTTAATAGGCGAAGAATGTGTCAACTTATACTGAAGTTTTTCTGTTCTTTGCAGGTGGTTCTCCTGGAAAAAGGGGTATGAATCTGATTTTGAAAACAGATGGCAGGATTATCAATCTGGGTTCAAAAACAGCAATTGCCACTGAACCAGGGGTAAGTGAAAATGAATATTCATGCTTTGTTGTCATTGTATAAACAAATGTTTGTTAATTTAGTGATTTAGTAATCATGCTTAACCATTTAAGAGTTATTTTCTCTTAATCATATATTGAATTTAACTCATGTCTTCAAGAAAACATGTTACATCTGCTACCAAAAATAGTCATCTTGATATTATTTCCCACCAAAATTCTGTATGCTACGTGTCCGGTCCATCAGAGCCTCCTAGATTTCACTATCCTTATTATGCCAGGTGACCTGTACAATTCACGCAGCCCCACGTTATGTAATATTCTAAATTCCCCACTTATTTCATCCTTCCTATAAATTTTGTAAAAATTGCGCGTGAAAGATTTTTAAAAACATTGTTACATATTTGTGGTTGTTTGGTCTATTTAGAAACAGTTCAATATTTTTATACAACTAATGTATACAAAATATCTTTCACTTCAATTGAATCCGTCAAAATTGGATTGTGCATTATAGTTGGGGACACACAAAATTTGGGAAAGTGTGGTAAATTATAATGGAGGTAATACTAAGTTTTAGTAATGGGTTTATAGGTGCTTCAATTGCCAGGATTTTTCTCACCTAACCCAAGATGAGTCACAGTCAGTTTCTGAAATTGGGTGTGTGTGTATATTTGTCTTGAGCAGGTTGGCACAAATGTTGACTCAGATCAAATTAGTTTCAGTCTCAAAACTAATAATTTATATTAATCTAACGTCTGCTCTCATATTTTGGTGGTTCCATGTTAGCAATTGGTCTTGATTGAATATGTTCATAGTTTTCTCCTTCTAATTCTGAAATAATCCCTGGAGTAGCCTGTGACTCTTGAACTTCCTATTCCAAGAAATAACAGAGCTATTTTCAGATACAATGTTTTTCTTTGATCAGTGTTTTGTGATGGAGTTTTGCGTGTGTTTGCAGATGCTGTATTACATTTTTTGCACATGTTACAGGATGTGTTCCGACTGCTGACGCCTGGTGGCGGTGGTTATGGGAGGCCAGATCTTGTGACATCATTTGCGGCAGATACCAACCAGAAACAACTGCCCACGTTCATTGAACGAGGTAGCGTATATGAATACCATCGTGCTCAAGAATCTGTGTAAAGTCATGAGCTACTGCAGAAGATCTTTATATCCTTTTGATTAATAATATTTCTAGTAAACTGCTCGATGTTTTGGAGGTCATTTCCTCTTTTCACATAAAAATTAAGTAAGAATTTTAGGAACTTTTTAAATGTGCTGCTGTGGCTGATGCAGATGGGCCATTTTGTTTTTATGTTCTACATAGCTACAAAATTCAAAGACTATACAATCTTTCGTTAATTTAGTCTGATAATAAAGGATAGAAGGACATGACATGCTCTGTAACTGAGCAAGGATACGTGTATATGCATATTAGTCAAAGGAAAGGTAGAGCGATCATTTAAATAAAATATAAATATAAAAATATATTTACATAAAATATATGCATTGAAGATACGGGACAAGGACTTGTACAAACTGTCCTAGGTCGGTATTCCTAAAATGATGCGTCGTGTGTGCTGTAACATTTAAAAGTACTCCGTTTGAAAATAAGTGCCTTGAAAAGTTAGTTACATATAGGCCTTCTGGGACCCACAGGAATTACCAAAAAATGTAGTTTGTAAAGATGACTTTTAATCATAAGAATGTTCAACTCTTGCATTTTCAAGGATAATTAGTTGTAATATTTTTCATATCATCATCATCATCATCCTTAAAAGATTTTAAATATAAGTTCTTGTTCTTGTTCTTGTTCTTTTGTTTTTATAGATTCTAATAATAAGTTTAATAAATTAAACTGCCTTATGAAAAATTAATTAATTCATTGAGTTTGCTACTGTATAATACATTTCAGATTTCAAAATTTTCTTGGTGAAATTAATTTCAGTAGGAAGAATGGGCTTGTCTTTTATTTGTATTCGTGCAGAAGGAATGGATGTCTTTGAAATGGATTACTGTACTGTAAAGACAAATTTTCTTAGGTTTATGGATAATAACTTTATCCTATAATATTCAGCGAAATGTATTGAATGAATGGATGTGATAATGTTTTGAGCAAGAAAGGCTGGTAAGAAGTCTGAGCATTTGTCAAATATTCCCGCAGTAACACCGGCACTCTGCTGGTGCTCCATAACAATCTCTTCTGCTGCTGTTCGCCTTGTTCCATGACCAAATTTTTGCTCTGTTTGTTAATGTGGGCACGGACTAACCTTCAAATATGCGTATTTTCTCCTGCTTAGGCATTTCCCAATTACGGATATGTCTGTCGCTAATTGGTAAAATATTTTTGCACATTTTATGCTGCTGGTTAACCACTAGCAGTAAAAAAATTGTGGTGGGGTGGGGGGGCAAAAACCAAACAAATTAAGAAAAGAGCATTAAATATAATATAGTAAGTTCTAAAAAAAGAAAGAGAAACAGAAGGAAAGAATAAATGAAGGTGAATCGCCCTGATGATGGAGGCAGTATGACCTCTGAAACGTTGGTAAACATCAACCAGACTACACAGCGCAACAACCCAGAAGACGGAAATCTTCATACTCATCGCCCTGATGATGGAGGCAGTATGACCTCTGAAACGTTGGTAAACATCAACCAGACTACACAGCGCAACAACCCAGAAGACGGAAATCTTCATACTCATCGCCCTGATGATGGAGGCAGTATGACCTCTGAAACGTTGGTAAACATCAACCAGACTACACAGCGCAACAACCCAGAAGACGGAAATCTTCATACTCATCGCCCTGATGATGGAGGCAGTATGACCTCTGAAACGTTGGTAAACATCAACCAGACTACACAGCGCAACAACCCAGAAGACGGAAATCTTCATACTCATCGCCCTGATGATGGAGGCAGTATGACCTCTGAAACGTTGGTAAACATCAACCAGACTACACAGCGCAACAACCCAGAAGACGGAAATCTTCATACTCATCGCCCTGATGATGGAGGCAGTATGACCTCTGAAACGTTGGTAAACATCAACCAGACTACACAGCGCAACAACCCAGAAGACGGAAATCTTCATACTCATCGCCCTGATGATGGAGGCAGTATGACCTCTGAAACGTTGGTAAACATCAACCAGACTACACAGCGCAACAACCCAGAAGACGGAAATCTTCATACTCATCGCCCTGATGATGGAGGCAGTATGACCTCTGAAACGTTGGTAAACATCAACCAGACTACACAGCGCAACAACCCAGAAGACGGAAATCTTCATACTCATCGCCCTGATGATGGAGGCAGTATGACCTCTGAAACGTTGGTAAACATCAACCAGACTACACAGCGCAACAACCCAGAAGACGGAAATCTTCATACTCATCGCCCTGATGATGGAGGCAGTATGACCTCTGAAACGTTGGTAAACATCAACCAGACTACACAGCGCAACAACCCAGAAGACGGAAATCTTCATACTCATCGCCCTGATGATGGAGGCAGTATGACCTCTGAAACGTTGGTAAACATCAACCAGACTACACAGCGCAACAACCCAGAAGACGGAAATCTTCATACTCATCGCCCTGATGATGGAGGCAGTATGACCTCTGAAACGTTGGTAAACATCAACCAGACTACACAGCGCAACAACCCAGAAGACGGAAATCTTCATACTCATCGCCCTGATGATGGAGGCAGTATGACCTCTGAAACGTTGGTAAACATCAACCAGACTACACAGCGCAACAACCCAGAAGACGGAAATCTTCATACTCATCGCCCTGATGATGGAGGCAGTATGACCTCTGAAACGTTGGTAAACATCAACCAGACTACACAGCGCAACAACCCAGAAGACGGAAATCTTCATACTCATCGCCCTGATGATGGAGGCAGTATGACCTCTGAAACGTTGGTAAACATCAACCAGACTACACAGCGCAACAACCCAGAAGACGGAAATCTTCATACTCATCGCCCTGATGATGGAGGCAGTATGACCTCTGAAACGTTGGTAAACATCAACCAGACTACACAGCGCAACAACCCAGAAGACAGAAATCTTCAGACTCACCGTTCAAGTCTTACAAAAGAATAAAAGTTTGTTCTTGTTTGTTGCCTTGTAATATGCTGCCAGTAATGCTGAATGTCATATGCAAATGGTTGATGTGTTTGCAGTGAAGTCAACATGCGCCCAGTCCGCACATTTCATGACAGATTTCTTCATGAATGGACAACTTCAGAGATCATTGTGAGTTGCACAACAGATCTTGTGCTTAATAAAGTCTTCTCGGGCTATCAGCCATGTAAGTTGGTGATCAATCGCCGACGTTTCGAGGACTGAGATGGTCCTCGAAACGCCGGCGATTGATCACCAACCGACACGGCTGATAGCCCAAGAAGACTTTATTAATGAAAGCCGCTGTGAAAACTCCACATCATAGATCTTGTGCTAATCGGCTCTGTATCACTTTTCTTCAGTTATTTCTTTTCTGTGTACTTATTTTTATTAATGGGTAAGTAACTTTGTCATTTATTATTAAAAAAGGAAGTTTTCTGTTGCAATGGACTGGATGTCCACGCATTAGGGGGTATTGGGGGTTGCATAAGGCTGAGATGCCACCTGGGGTGATATATTTCGATATAACCAGAACGTCTTAGTCCCATTGAATTCATCAAATTGGTAACCTCATTCTACCTACTTGTTATTTATTTCTGTTTCTGTCAAATATTTAGGTAGTAATTTTTCCTTGAACCTTCCTTTCTGTGAGATTTAAATGGTAAGATACAATTTCGGTTTTAGAATCTTATAAAAAAATTTGGGGTCCGCAGTGGCTGAGCGGTCTGAGACGTGGGCCTTGTGCCGCTTGGTCGCTGGGACCGTGGGTTCGAATCCCACTCGCGTTTCTCTGTGTTGTGCTGTCCTGTGTACAGGTAGAGGCCTTGCGATGGGCCGATCCCTCGTCCAAGGAGTCCTACCGAATGTCTATAGATCAAGCCAACGAAAAGTTGGGACCCGCAGTGCTTAGGCAGTTGAAGAACGGGTCGTTCCCAGTATCCAGCTTCAGCCAGCCAGGCATTGTTAGCCAGTTAGTTGAGGTTTACACTCACTCAGAAGAGACATGATGCACTACAGGGGAGGAGGGACTGCATGACATTCCAAGCTTACATGCTGGCATATGACGTACATTACTGCATCATATTCTTCGCTATTTCAATTGCATAACCTCTGATATATGCACATCTTTTGTTGTTACCTGTGACTGTGCATCATGGAAGATGAAGGGCAATGTATATTTTCAATTTCCAATATTTTTACAACCCCCCACTACCACCTTGGAATTTGGCTAACATTTTTGAAAAAGTCATGCTATACCGCTTGTATTTATTAATAGTGGTCGTACATACTTGTCACCATGATAATACAAAACGAGTTAGGAAATATATGAGTAGCATACCAGCTCTGGTGCTTTCACCAAAATTTGACCTTTCCAAAGGGCTTGAATGCTTATAGTAGGCCATATTATTCAATGTGTACCATTTAATATAATAGAACAAAAAATTACCCTTAAACCCAACATGTTCGCAGAGACTCGAACCCACGGCAGTTTTCGAATTTGTGACCTTAGTTTCTGTAATCTGATCGCCGAAACGACCAAATTTTGCCTTGGCGTCATTCTTCTATAGTGCTTAGTTTCCGATCTATGGGAAACGCCGCAAGAGGGAATTGAACTCAGTACATTTCTCTGCAGTTATCATTTTGACCCTCTTGTGTTCGCTCTCTAGTCTCAAGGAATAAGTATGCGAAGTTTTTGTGCAAATCGGTTTTTCCCTTCTAGCGCTATAAGCGAATATACATACAAATATATAAAAAAATAAACCTACAATTTCAGCTTTACATAAATTGATCACATGAATATTCTGTAATACTGTATCAATGAACTATAGACACTGAGGGTTTGCGTTTGTTTTCTCTTTGTCCCTAAATGGTGCCAATCGTCACTAGTTAATGAAGTGTCGTATCAGTCAAGGCGTTCGGGAGGATAAAGAATAACAGAAGGATCATTCTCCTTCACTTTTCTGGAAATGTGTATAGGTAACCATGATGGTCACAGATAACCACAATTCAGATAATATTTTGCAGAACTCAAAGCATAAATCACAGATTACTTTCTTTGCTGTGTCTGCGGTGTTCTTACCAATCTTCTAAAGTAGACCGGAGCGAGTGTTAGTCTCTGCAGAGCTTATGGCGAGTGAGGGCGGTGGTTGGGTCACGTGTGATCTCTGTTTGCTGGAAGTGGGATTCTGTACAAAATACATATGGCGGTACTGGAAACTCGTACTAAAAGAAGGTACGTTCTCTTTTGTATCATGGTAATGAGCGCAAAAGCAATGAACTTTTGTTAAAATGCAAGATGGAATGATGTAGGTTGGCTGTGTCAGGCTGACACAAATAAGGAATGTTATTTGAGGTTATCACGGTGGTGAGTACGAAGATGGCTACCCTCTGGGCTGTAGCGCCATGTAGTCTAATTGAAGTTTACCGACGTTTCAGAGGCCCATACTGCTTCTCTCTCCAGGGCAATGAGTTCTTATTACCCAGAGGATAGCAATCTAAGCAGAAACGTGTCTGCAGTTGAAATTGCGCGTCGTGGGCTTTTTTACGTATTGTACCTAAATAGACTTTAATGAATATTTACAATTCGGTAACCAGACCTCTTGCCTGTACACGAGGTTTCGCGCAGTCAGGTTATTAACCGGCAGGTTGTATATTGCAAGCGAAGTTGAAATTAAAAATGTTTTAATGGGATTTAGATTTTCATTTTACGTTACTTCAAGACGTCAAACAAGATTTAGTTGACTTTGTGTAATTCAATATCCTGCATGTATACTATGTAGTAGGTATCGGTATTAGCGAAACCGATGTTGCCAGAGTTTCGGTTGTTACTGACAAGATTATGTATCGTGGTAAATGAACCACAGTTGAAGGTTAGCATATTTTTAAGTTGTTCCCTGTCACTGAAGTTTGGTTTTATTTACTGTTGCTAGCCTTGACTTGCACCGTGGTATTTATTTATGATGTGTAGGCTCTGCATTAAAAATTACGTAACGCAACCAGTTACTGTACTGAGAGTATTGCATTTGCTGAATTGATATCCGCTCTCACAGAAGTTGTCGAAATGACAGACTGGGCAGGTTTGAAGACGAGAGAAATTTAATGTCAACAGAGTGGGTGACTTAGCCCGACCAGGTTAAAAGTTTGAAGACGTTCGTAATCTTTGAGATTCCAGCGTCCGGGGAAGAAGGAGGTGAATTTTTTTTTCTTTTCATTTAACTTTTAAAAAATTTGATCTATTGTCAATTGAATAAAATTTTTGGATATTATCCATCGTCTAGTAAATATAAAACGTAAAACGACGTTTCGGAGATGGGACTCTATCTCCGTCTTCAGGTTCCTACACAGTTGGGCCCACTAGATAGAGCTAATCCCTATCCCTTGGTCCGGAGATAGGGATTAGCTCTATCTCCGGAGATAGGGATTAGCTCTATCTAGTGGGCCCAACTGTGTAGGAACCTGAAGACGGAGATAGAGTCCCATCTCCGAAACGTCGTTTTACGTTTTATATTTACTAGACGATAGATAATATCCAAAAATTTTATTCAATTGACTCTTCACCATCGTCAAGAAGTTTTAGATTTGATCTTTTGTGTTTGTGAGGAAGAAACAAACATCTTAAATGCCAATGAAGAAACTGGTTTAGGAGTTAACATGCAAAAAGAAAAAAAATATTAACACGACACAAAACTACAATTAGCGACAAAGGCATAGTGCATGGCAGTAGCTAGGCCTGTGTGAAGGAAAGCGTTTGAGATAGAAAGACGAAGTTACAGGTGAACCTGCCACGAAGACGTTTTGGGAAGAGGAATTATAGCTCCACCAGGTGGAAATGACTGGCCGTTTTACCTCCATAATAAACAGCCCCTTTTATAATTACGGGGCCCCAAGAGTCAATCTGGACTTGGTGGCGAGAAATAAATGTCTATGATTCAAAATGTAAATAATAGATAACAACAATAACGAACAAATGGGGTTTATGTTGACATTAAAACAAGGAAAAACTATGGAAATTCTTATTGACTTTTACGAGTGTAAAACGCGGTAACTTACTTTGAAAGAAGCACATGAATTACACGTGTTTGTAAACAAAGTACCCGGCAAATGTTAAGATGTAATAAAAATTAAGTAAGTAGACAGTTTAAGATATTACATATATAAGGACGTGTTACCTATTCAGTGATTTAGGATTGTTACGAGAGTGAAATATAGGCCACCTGTGCGTGGCCGTGACGAGCTGGGCATTTGGTTACGATCGGGGAGACGAGGAATTTGTACAGAATTTCTGTGGTTAAACCTCTTGAGAAATATCCATTTGGGAGATCAAAAAGAAGACGTGAATGATATTAAGATGGTAGGATTTGGAGTTATCAGGGCGGTGAGTACGTGGATGGCCATGTTCTGAGTTTTATCACCGTACAATCTGGTTGTTTACCAAACTTCTATCAGATTATAAGGCACTGCAAACCAGAAGACAGCCATATTTATATTAAGACGTATTTTAGGTTTTGAAGATGGGAGATGAGTATATTAAGACGTGTTTTAGGTTTTGAAGATGGGAGATGAGTGGAATTTGTTAAGGACAGTGTCCAATGTCGGACATTATTGTTGTTGTGTTCCTCACGTGTGCTGTATCTGTAATTGGCCTTCTGGCTGTTGGTACAGTACTCTAATAATAAAGAATTGAATCGAATTATTTTAGCATTGGTGAATTTTCTGCTACATAGTGCTAATTAGGGATAGGAACGCGTCTATAACATTTTCTTGGGAAGTTATATGAGTTTGTTAGGTCTGCTGTGTATAGTTGTTCAAAATTAGAAAATTGCGGCTTCCGCCGGTGTGATAAGATGTGTTATGGACGTCTGCGCATTTATTGAGCTGTCATAGTAGCAGCCCCGCAAAGCTCCGTGCCAGGTACTGAACACACAATTCACAGATCACAGATAAAAGCTAACAAGGTGAAACTGCTAGTATCAACTCCAATTACTACGACCACAGAGCAGTGGTTCCAAAACCCCAGGGTATCATTTCACAAACCCCCTCCTTGAAAGTTCAGAATACACAAACCCCCACGTATAAAATGATTTTCCCACAGGCATTTTTCCCTTACGTGTACATTCGTCTCTTTTCTGTCACTCACTCGATCCGCCCCATTCCAAAGCCGTTGAACCTTAACACCATGTTTCACAAATAATTTCTATCTGAAAGGTTTCTAGTTTAAAAAAGGCGAGCAAGTAATTCAAGTTGAAAGATGTGACGGTTTTATTCAACGTACGAATGAAAAGCAACACTCATGTAATTGCCCATGTCTTATGTAGATTTTTTTTTCGTTTATAGGGATCTAAAGAAATTTTTATATTTAAGAGCAACTGTAGAGGTATCAGTTTCCGACTTTCCTCTTAATTTATGAATACATAAAAAGTACAAATGTGTAGTGGAGACAGTTTATAGTTGCCTACACCATTTCCAAATATGTTCTTCACTGAAGATTTCTGCCTTCTGGGTTGTTGCGCCGT